TCATGTGCTTTGTTATATTGCCAAGCGGACCCTTTGCTGTTTTTATAACTTCTTTTGGTGGTTCAAACTTGAAATATGGCTCAGGATTTGCTAGCTTCAATTAGATAATAGAGGGCAAGGTCCCATCTAATCCAAGGTATGGTCTGAATGTACGGTTGCCAGGTGTCTGGTTTTCGACCAGAATGCCTGGTCAAAAAGGGACCGTGGTGGTTCTGGTCAGCACTGCTGACCGGGTCATTAAAAGTCCACTCAGTGGTGAAGTGGGGCTAAGGCAGGCTCTCTGTGACTCCCAGAAGCAGCAGCATGTCCCCTCTCCGGCTCCTAGTGTAGGGGCAGCCCCGGGGACTCTGTGTACTGCCCCGGCCCCAAGTGCCAGCACCACAGCTCCCATTGGCCAGAAACCACGGCCAATGGGAACTGCGGGGGCAGTGTCTGTGGATGGGGCAGCACTAAAGCCACCCGGATGCACCTCTGCATAGGAGCCAGAGGGAGGGGGGAACATACCGCTGCTTCTGGGACCTGCTTGAGGTAAGTGCTGCCCAGAGCCAGCACCCCCACCCCCTCCTGTGCCCAGATCCACTGCCCCAGCCCTTATCCCCCTCCTGCCCTCCAAACCCCCCGATCCCAGCCTGGAGCACCCTCCTACACCCCAAACCCCTCATTCCCAGCCCCACCCCAGAGCCTGCACCCCGAGCCAGAGCGCTCACCCCCTTTTGCATCCCAACCCACTGCCTCAGCCTGGAGCCCCCTCCCTCACCCTGAACTCATTTTTGGCTCCACCCCAGAGCCCTCACCCCCTCCCACACCCCAACCCTGAGCCAGCCTGGTGAAAATGAGCGAGTGAGGGGGGGAGAGCAAGCGATGGGGGGGGGGGGATGGAGTGAGCAGGGGTAGGGCAGGTTGCGGAGGCAAGAGTGTTCAGTTTTGTGCGAGGTAAGTTGGCAACCCTATCTGAATGGTGTCTTATTCTTCTGAACAAGACTGAACTCTCTCTCTTCTGCATTTGAATGGAGTAAAACTAAGCCAAGCCTGGCAACCTTATCAGTCATTCATGTTTGTGTGCCTAGTACATGACTCAGAACATGAATAAAATCCAAAAACAATCTTACATCCAAGATTGTAGCTTTGTTTATTTTTAAATTACCTGTCACTCCAGATTGACTCAGGATCTACCTCTCTACCATTTTTTGTGTAGATAGGCAATGCTTTAAAGAGAGATTGGTCAATAATTAAAAGTAGGTCTGTGGAGAAAAAAAGTGCACCAAAGACCAAATTCAAAGTTTTCCTACTAAAAGTGTATGAAGATAAATGAGCAACGCCTATATACAAAATTCAAAGGACACAAACTAACAACGTTCACGGTGATTGGCTACTCTTTCCTCCAAAAAAAAAAAGGAATTTGCCTAATTTTAAGATTGTTTTAGAATGCAACCCTAACTATGCAGTTGTAACAATAGACCTTCACAACAACCTAGGTAGTAATAGTTGAAGGAAAGCAAAAAAAAAACCACCACCTTTTGAACACACATATATAACGTCAATGGGAATGGCTGAGTGCTCAGCCCTTTAGAAAAAAATCAAACCTTGTTTAGGAGCCAACGCATGAATGTAGGAACCTATTTTTTAAAATCTTGGCCTCTGTATGTGTTGTGGTAAGACCTGAGAAATCTCTAGGTTGGTACATGAAAGTAGCAAAAATAGGAGGCAATACCAAAATCATGCCAGTTTTCTGCTCCATTAAGGAGTGATTACTGTACTAACATTGTCTAATAGAAGCCAAGCTTGGCTTCTATCACCATTACACTCAACCCTTAACACCACAAAGTTTATGCAGCTCTAATAGCCTTTTTTATGTGCGTCCAAATTAAGAGTTTGTGGCTCAATTGTGACCTAAAGCAATTTCCTGTGAATAAGCAGACAGTTGGCCACGATATACATTCAGCCTTCAGTCTCCTGTCTGACAATTTGTACCAATGCAGATTTTTGTTTCCTTTCTTTAGGTGGAGATCTGTATACCAGAACTAAACAAACCCATTTCAAATAAGTCATTGGAGTACTGCCATAATACTTTAAATCACTTTCCAAGCAGTAATCTAGAGATGTAAACTTTTATTCTGAATGCCAGTCAGCTGAGCTATTTGGTACCTTATACCACAAAGCCTGTGAACAATACAGATAGCAGTGACCCCATTATAATCTGAATCAGACAATATTAAACATTGAACCTGTGAGAAATGAGGCAAAACCACCCAATTTAATGTCACAAAGAATTCGAATGCAGGAAAAGTACATGAAATATTGAAATAGGCTATATTACAAACCATCAACATTGTATGAAACAATCTCCAAGTGCTGCTGGATGTAACCAAGGCAAATACATATTTGTAATAGCTGCTGCAACCCCTGTATGTCCCCTTCATGGAAGTTTAACTTTGTGGGTCTGCATAGCAACAACTCCACAGGCCAGTCTGCTGGACTTTCCTAGCCCTAACTCAACCCTGCCTGCATGTGGAGTTTTGCTTTGCAGCTTTCCCAGCCACACAGCAGAACTGTAGTGGGCAGATAGATTCAGGTGCATCTCCTGATGCCATCTTTTTTATATCTTTTTCATACTCCTCCATTATATGCATTGTATGTTTAGGTTCTTAAAAAGAAAGCCAAGTGGCTACTAAAAAGTGTAGTCACCATTTCACACTGCCACTGTTCTTAAATCCTTGCACCATCCCTTTTCTCATGGGTGCCAGTGTGCTTTGGGTATGCCTCGATTGGAAGTGCTGTAGAGAGAGGCAACTTCCCACAATACAAGTTGCTGGAGAAGAGTGTTTGCTATAGAGAGGATGATCACTTTGCAGCCCTGCTGGTGGTAAAATGTGTCACTATACCCAATATTACTGACAGGGTTAATGAGATAAAATTAGGGTTACCATACATCTGGATTTTCCCGGACATGTCCGGCTTTTTGGGCCTCAAATCCCCGTCTGGGAGGAAATCCCAAAAAGCCGGACATGTCCGGGAAAATAGGGAGGCCGGGGGTGCTCGGCCGGGCCGGGGCCCAAGCCGAGCTGAGCCGGAGCTGCCGGGGCCAGGGCGGGCCGGAGCCCCAGGGCCTGAGTCGGGCAGGAGATGCCGGGGCCAGAGCCTCTGGGCCTGGGCCCCGTGGAGTGTCCTCCTTTTTTAAAAATTAAAATATGGTAACCCTAATAAAATGGAAAATTAAAAAGTCAGTATAATGTAACCAACTGCTAGCAGTTAGCTCGTACAAGCTTAGGAATGTGATACAGCCCACAGCTGTTGAATTCAGCCTATTAGCTCAAGCGGTAAAGGCATGGGCTGTCAGTGAAGCACAAGTGTTCAAGCCCTATTGTTAAGGCAATCAGGAACTGTTACAATAACATTTGTAGGTCTAGCTTGTTTCTTCATGTGACTTGAGCTACAACATCAGTTCTGAGTTCTCAGGTTGTTTGTTTGGTGGGGGGGGGGGTTGGGAGGGTGGGAATGATATAAAAGCTATGTGCCTCTATTAACACCATTCATTTAAGGAATTTATAAACTTGGCCCCAATCCTGCAAACACAAAATTACACCTATGCTTAAATGTTTGCATGATCAGGGGTTTGGTACCTCCCTGTTACAGAGATGGAAGAACCACAGAAACAACTTAGATCCAGTTAGATTAGGTCAGTGCTTCAATGAGTTAATCAATCAAGCCGCAGAGCCCTCTGACAGATGCGTACAGAGCTGAGACGTGAGCCAATGGGTCCTGGCTCCCAGTCCTGCACCCTAACCACTAGGCCCCTCTGCCTCCAGCAGGCGCAGGCCAGCAAAGCCGCTTGGCCAACGCGTTGCGCACAGCTTGGGTCTGCCCGGCTTCCGTCCCAGATGATGCCGCCCGCTGGCTCCCGCCCATCAGTGGCGCAGCTGAGAGCCGGTTTCCGTGTCAGCCGTCGCGGCTCCGGCAGATGCAGGCGCGGCTCAACGAGTCCGGCGGGAAGGGGGTAGCCATGGAGGAAGCGGCTCTAACTCTCCCCCGCTGACACACCCTGTCCCTAGTGTTGCCGGCCGGCCCGCCCGCCCGCCATCCCATTCGGCCGCCTCGGGGACAGTGTGCTGCGGCGGCCCCGTGTTTACCCCAGTTCTCAACAGGTAGCAGCGTCTGACGGCAAGTGAGGGTAGTGGCTTCCGGGGATGTTAATACGCATGCTCGGAGCGTTGGCGCATGCTCAGTAACAGCAAAGTAGCTGATCCTGACACTCCGCCGCCTCTCCCCAGCCCAGCTGGAGGAGCCATGGACAAAGCCGACAAGGTAGGGGAGGGGCGGGGGCGCTGGGCCCGGGGCGGCGAGCGCGCGCGCTGTAAACAACGAGAGAGGTTGGAGGTGGGGGGCTGAAGGGGTGTGCGCGAGCCGAGGGGTGCCGGGGCAAGGGGAGCCTGCGGGTGTCTGGGGGGATTATCAGAGATTTGCGGCAGCCGGGAGACAGAGCTGTAAACCGGAGGCGGGGGAGCGGGCAGTGCATCTGCTCACTGAGGGGGTTGGTGGGCACCGACTGCAGCCCTCGGGCCTGCACTCCAAGCAGCTGGGCAGGGAGGTGAGGGGGTTCCTGGGGGTTCAGGAGAAGAGCTGTAACGGGGGGCGGGGGGTTGTGTGTATGGGCAGTTGGGGTGTGTGTGTAAAAGCTATTTTCTCTTCTCCCCCCCGCCCCCCAACAATCTCAAACTGGACTTCAGTCTTGAAAAGTTCTCTAGAAAACTAGAGCGAGCCAAGGCGTGGCGGGGAATGTCTTTTATTCGACCAGCTGCTGTTGACAGAAGAGAAAACTCGATATTTTCATGTCTGTTTGGGGGTACATTTCACTCGTAAACAGGGATCCTGGAGTGGGGATGACAACACCCGTGTAACCCCCTCAGCCCGAGCCATCTTTCCCTCTGTTGGGCTGGGAGGCTGGAGAGGGTCTTGTGAAGTGTGTGTGGGGGCGTTAAAATAGTAGCTAAAATACTGTAGGTCTGACCCCATTTCTTTTTACCCACTTCCTGTATTAACTTGAAATGTATGCAAGTCGGTGTTGTTGTTTGTCATATTCATAATGTTGTCTCAAGATTCCTTTCTGCTCTTTTCCCTGACGTGTTTCAAGTTTCTGGGGCAATTGAACTAAGTGAGATTTCATTTGACATATGCAAAATCAGCAGGAGAGACTTTTAAAAACATCCTCAAAACGAAGAATGTGTCATTTCCTTAATGTATGAAACATGTGGATTTGTTAAAATAATTGTTTGTTCTTGGGTTAGATGTAAGTCTCTAACATTCAGGACACCATCTAGCCTTCCCTGTCCTTAGTTTGTAGCAGATAAAAGGTTTAGATAACGCCTGAAACAACCCCCCTGCCCCTTTTTTTTGTTAATGCATTTAAGGGGAGGGTTGCAGAATAATCAATTTACCTTGTTTTCAGGGTCTTTTCAAGTTGTTGTTGTGACATGAATGAAGGCGCCTTTAAAATCTCACTCAATCACAATTGTTTAATGTTTTATTGATGTGAACATAGTAAAATCCTTCAGCACAAGAAGATGATTTAAAAAAATCCAAAATTAAAGAGTTCCTCTGTGTAAAACTTAATAAGATCTCTGTTACTACTAAGCTGCTCTTCAGGGAAATGTGTGTTGAAAGACCCTAATTGCAGGAATTCAAATATAGTCCAGTTATGACTTTCAGTTTTGAAAAATCTTCAGAAATTCTAGGGTTATCCTCTCAATTGACTTCATTCTAAACTTCAGTAATACAGTAGACATTGAACAAAGGGTTATTTTTGTAAGAATAATTGTTTAATTTTGTGCATAGTTTTTAAGGATCGATTGTTTACTAATCTCTACTGTGGTTAAATAGTTTGGGTTACTAATATAGAGAGAAACATGTTACAGAAAGTTGTTCTATACCCCTTATTCTACCCTGGGATTTGTTTCGATTTCTGTAATGGGTGTTGGAATGGTTTGGTTCTGTCAGTGCCAGAAGTTAATGTGTTCAAGTGCAGTTAAATGGTATGTTCAGATGATGTCTGTTGTCAACCATGGGTTATTTTCCTAATGTAGACAAGGTCACACTTAAGTTTTTTGCAGGTTTTCTGTGCAAGGGAGTGGTTGTAGGAAACAAGGAGAAGAGAAACAACTTCTTGTTTTTTTTAATAAGATGATACTATTTTCAAATTCAAAAATTAGGATGTGTTTATTTGCTTAGAGCTATGCTTAAGGCCTTGGTCTCTATTAGGACAGTTGGGAAATCAAGTGGAATTGCAAAACATCAACTGTGGACATGTCCTTAATTATTTTTTTACTTAAAAACAGCCTATTTGTTGTCTGCTTGAACAAAGTGCAAGGAAAGTAGTGCCAACAGATAGTTATGGACTTATGGTTTTATTAGAGTGCTTATTACCCAAGTAAGTTGGATGTAGGTGTGCTGTTTTTGTTTTGTCCAATTTCTCGAATTGTGTTTCTCTCTTTTGAGGGTATGAACATTGGGAGATTGTCTATTATAGTGGAAAAAGAAGAGTTAGCCTAAACTCCAAGTTACACATTCTCTCTCTTCTTAAACTTTGAAGTAACTTAAGGATAATAGAAAGCTGTCCTTGCCAGAAGAATGTTTTATGTAAGGATTCTTATTTTCATATGACTGAACTATAGCCAGAACAAGGTCTTCAGTGTGTTTTAAAAGAGTCAGAATTGTTTTGCAACAATAGGTATGCATGTCCATAAGTCTTCTAGTGGCTATTAGGCAGATTTATTGTTGACCAATGGGAAAAGTCCCACTTAAGTAATGCTTTGCATTAATGCCTTTCCTGCAAGAATCTCAAGGCACTTGTACAAATATTAAACTTTCCAATATGCATGTGAGGGGTGTGTATGTGCATATACTATATGTATGTATGCTCATTTTACTGGTGAGTAGACATGAGGCATATAGAAGTTAAGTGATTTCCCCAAGGTCACGCTCCAAGTCAGTGAAAGCTTGGAAAAGAAATCAGCCTTGATTTCCCATTCCTTCCTCTAACTGCTGTATTGCATTACCTTTCCCAATGTACAAGTCCCTTTGCTTTCAGTTTTTATTTTTTTAAATTTCTCAGGAATTTATCAGTGTTTACAGAAATTAAAAATTAAGTGAAAAACAGTGCAAAAAATTAACTTCAGATTGCCACAGTTAATGCTGGGAGATGGGAGGAGAGAAAAAAGCAACAAAGAGAGAAACGTAACCCTATTAAAAGACAAAGTAGTTTAATATTGTGGTTTATTAATGACCTGTACATTAACAAAATGCACATAGATGCATGCGCACACATTCATGTGCATCTGTCTTTCTCTACATTACCTTACTTTAACAGACTTATTTGCACTCCTAGAATAACATTATTAACATGAATACATCTACTTAATGTATTGAATTTTTCTTAACATAATAAGTATTTTCATGTACCTGAGTGGCCCAAAATTTTGGTAAAAATCAATTAAAAAACCCCCAAATTACAGCTTTTGTAAAACCTGGGAATTTTTCAGTAAATATTGAAAACAAAGGGCCTTATCAATGTATGAATCTAACCATCTTGTGTAATTACATTTTCTTTTTCTCTATGTTGCTCTTTGGAAGACCCACACAACTGAGGAGAAATTGACTGGGCTACACCTTAGTACAAAATAATCACATTTGAAAAAAGACAAATGTTTTACTCTGATCTTTCAATTATGGTAATCTAAGTATTCAGGTTTTTTGTTTTGTTCATGTATGGATCCTGGCAAAAGTGTGAATTTTAAAGTGAGTGTCCCTTTAAACTAATCCTACTGCAAAATAGTATGATTCTTATTTTCAAGAGCCAAGGTGAGTGAGGTAATAGCTGTTATTAGACCAAATTCTATTGGTGAGAGAGACAAGCTTTCAAGCCCCACAGACCTCTTCTTCAGGTCTGGAGAAGGAATCAGAGTATCTGAGAAGTTGGTCCAATAAAAGATAGTGCCTCACCTACTGTATGTGTCTCAAAGAAATATGTAGCATCTCAGCCTTAATGCTATCTTGCCATTATTGCAGATATAACTGACTTTCATCATAAATGAGGTGGGGATTATCATGTCAACTAAAGAAAAACTTTACAACCAAAGCATACCAATTGCAACATCAAGACAGGTTAAAATTAGATTACTCAATGAATGAGTAGCAAACTAAACTGTCAACTTTATGTAAAACTTGTGCTGTGATAAAACAGGCAATCGTGAACTCATACCTGAACATGAATTTCAAATATATTTTCATTCTGCAGCCATAGCCCATTACTCTATACTGTGTTCTTTGGGCATAGTATCTTTTAAGGATGTATGATGGTGGAAGATCAGTAGGGGGAAAAATAAGTTCACAAAACATAAGTGTTTGAATGGAGACCAGTGTACCTGAGCATAATAGTGCTATATTGGAAATACAATTTTAAATCTGTCAGAGTATGATTATATTTCACACAGTATACAAGGGCTGTTCCTGATGTTATGCAGTTAGGCTGCATATTTACTGTTCCTTGAATACATGCCACTTAGAAGTCAAATAATTATAGTAACACTGGTTTCTGTGTTTGCAAAGTTGGTCTTAAAATAAATGAAGTGTGTGACTTGTCTGCATACTTAAGTTATTATGGAAGATTTGAAACATAAGATTCAGGAGCAAAATTGGAAAAACAGCTTTAAAAATTATAGAATCTATGTTGTTGCCCTACTATGTTTTGCAACCAGACTTCTTGTTTCCAGGCTTTAAATAGTAAAACAATCAACTTTATTCTGTTTCTCTGAAATGTAGCATATGCATCTGTTTTCTCACATTGTAGATGGTGAAAAAATATCTGAGTGCTAACATTGCTTTCCTAGATAGAAGACAAGAGATCCTATTTGAATGGGTAATATTGAATGCCATTACGTTACAATGAACAAAAAGTTTTCTAAGATTAAACATACAGTGCTATAACTATAGGACAAAGTTTACCAGTCTGGTCCTGCTAGTGTCATCTTCTGTCTTTGCAGCTGTTGATGACTACAGTAGCTCTTCTATAGAAGACAAAGGGTCACTTCAGTGTATATGCCATCTTGGTAGAGTTGTAATTGTTGGACTGAAATATATAATGAGCTACTGCATAATGTTTTATAAGTTAAAACTGAACAGCATCATGAAGAGCAAAACTCTCTTCCCTGTAAAATTAAGACCTGTTTTACAGTATTAACAACCTCAAAAGTTTAAGAATCCTGAGCTAGAACCCCCCCCCCCCAAATCATGAGATTTTGTTAGTGAGAGAGGAGATTGTGTATTTGGTCTTCCTTTTGACACAAAAATTGGAAGTGGTAAATAATGAAGACAGATTGCTGATTCAGAGCAATCTGGATCACTTAGTAAAATGGGCCAAAGCATATCATATGTGTTTTAATGTGGGTAAATGTATACATCTAGGGACAAAGAATGTAGGCCATACTTGCAGGGTGGAGGATTCTATTCTGGGAAACAGTGATTCTGAAAAAGATGTAGGGAGTTCTGGTGGATAATCAGCTGAACATGAACTCACAGTCTGATGCGATCCTGAGATGCATAAACAGCAGAATCTTGAGTAGGAGTAGAGAGGTTGTTTTACTTCTGTATTTGGCACAGTTATGACTGCTGCTGAAATACTGCTCCCTATTCAAGAAGGATATTGATAAATTGGGGGCCGGGAGGGGGGTCAGAGAAGACCCACAAGAATGATTAAAGGATTAGAAAACATGATAGACTCAAAGAGCTCAATCTGCTCATCTTGATAACTCTTAATCTTCTCTTTGTTTTGATTACAGTCTATAAGTATCTACAAGGGGAACAAATATTTAATAATGGTCTCTTCAGTCTAGCAGAAAATGGTTCATAATCCAGTGACTGGAAGTTAAAACTAGAGAAGTTCAGAGTGGAAATAAGGCATAATTTTTTGACAGTGAGGGTAACTAACCATTGGAACAATTTACCAAGGGTTGTGGTGGATTATCCATCATTGACCATTTTTAAATAAAAAATGTATGCTTTTCTAAAAGATATGTCTTAGGAATTATTTGGGGGGGATTTCTGTGGCCTGTATTATACACAGTCAGACTACATGATCACAATGGTCTCTTCTGGCCTTGGAATCTATGAAGTCAGAATAATTTTACAGATGTCTTAACAGGTAGAGATAATCTCAATGAATTGGGGACAGACTACAGAAAGCAGAGCCCTCTTTATAGGAAATCCTAAACTCCTGCCTTAGTCAATGATGTGTCTAATCAGCTATTTTGATAGTCTTTAGGGTCAAATGTAACAATGCCATGATCAAATGAATCATGAAAAGGGATGGAGTTTGGGGAAGGAAGGGTAAAGAGAAGAGTCATTTTAATGACCGTGTTCTACAGTGACCTGACATCAAGGAATGATCTCCATATTTCCACACACATTCCCTAAAACCCTGTTGGGAACACACTCTCAGCCTAAGACAAGACATTGGACTTCAGACACCTCACAGTTGTACAGATGAGATGGGCAGTGGCTAAAAAATATGATCTTCTCCATGCTTGAAAAACATTCTTGGAAATGCATTGCATTACAGAAGCTTACTAATTCCAGAATTCCTACCTAGGATACTTCCACAAAATACTTAGTTCTTTCTCCTGTCTCACTTAGTTTGTCATTAGGTTGATCGGAAGGGCACCTGGCTGTTTAAAAACAGAAAAAGGTGGTGCAAATTCACAATGGCAGTCTTAACGTTATGGCACTACTGATATGAAGTATTGTTCCATCTGGACGACAAATGACTGGAAAGCCTGTTTATGGTCCTGGTCAGTACTCATGTGGTGCATAGTATCTGGACCAAAACTGTCTCGTATTGCTGGGAAGAGCTAGAACTGGGATAACCATTTGGAAGTTCTTCGGCCATTCATGAACAGTGCTGCATTTGTATATCTAAATGGCTTGGCCTGACTTTATAGAAACAGGTTAGCTCAGGGATCTCAAACTCAAATCACCACGAGGGCCACATGAGGACTAGTACATTGGCTCGAGGGCCGCATCACTGACACCTTTTCATATAAAGGTACAAAAGCCCCCCCTCCCTGTCCCCGGCCCTGCCCCCACTCCACCCTTTCCATGAGGCCCCGCCTCTTCCCACCCCTTCCCCAAATCCTCGCCCCGCCTCTTCTCCGCCTCCTCCCCTGAGTGCGCAGCTCCCTGCTCCTCCCTACTGGAAAGTGCTAAGCGCCACCAAACAGCTGTTTGGCAGTGGGAGGTGCCTGGAGATAGGCAGAGGAGTGGGGGCGCGGTACGCTGGGGTGGGAGAGGGGAAGGAGGGCGGCAGGTGAGGGGAGCTTGGCGGTTGCAGAAAATAACTCCGGGGGGCATGAGGAGCTTGGCGGGCTGCAGCAAATAACTCTGCGGGCTGCGTGTTTGAGACCCCTGGGTTAGCTGTATATGAATGGAAATTGCTATGGCCAAGAGATCTGCTGTTTGTTCATGAGCTCTTCTCCCATTTTTGTTTTTGGGCAAATCCTGAGTTGGAGCTATTATGGTGCAAATACTTGGTAATTAATTAGGTCCTTTTGGACTATCATAAAAACTAAGAATTAATTCTAATTGGCATTCCCAATGTCACACAGAAAGTCTCAGGAAACTTAACTTGAGTCTCCCAAGTCCCATGTTAGTGACCTAATTAGTGTAGCATTTTTCCTCTACATGAAGCATTGTGAGATGTAGTGAAGTTACTCAAGATGGTACTCACCTGTTCATTATCTAGTTGCCAAAAGTGCAGCTGATTAGCACAAAGATACTTGCTCTACTGTGATGCAGACTTTGGTAGATTAATATATAAAACCTACTAGTGGGCAAAGTTCATAATGTAAGCATTTTTGAGAACTGTTAGTAGTTACTGGATGATAGCTAGTCTGGTCATGTTCTGAAACACTATTACATGGTAAGCTCTTCAGGAGAATGCCCTTGTTTAATGGACATGATGGATGTTTGATTTATAATCCCGAAGAGTAAAGAGAGAAATGGAAAAGAGGATGAAGGTGATTCCTTTTGGTTTGTGATATTACACTTGAGAGGATGTTGCATTCCCACCAACCAACCATGATCTTTCCATAGGGCATCAACAGAGGGGAAAGAGGAGTGCTGTTTCCATGTGTTTACTTGTTACTGGTTAAATGGTTTCCTTAAAAGAATGTAAGGGGAGTCATGATGAGACTAGGTTTTCTCATAAAGACCGTACATTTTTTCATATTTACAACTAGTAAATGTGTCTGAACTTCTGTTTGAGCTGCTTTTTCTTACACCGGTCTTACAGTTTATTTTGGACTTCTAAATGCAACCTTAGGCACCTGATTGTTTAAACAGCCTTAGGCCTGCTAATACTTGTTAAAATGCATTTTCCCAGTGTAAATGTTGACTTGTGTAAATAGCTTGGTCATTACTTAAGACTTTAAATTGTCAGGTCCTTATATGGTTTAAAAATCTTCAATGTGTCAAATGCCGCAAGTAAAGAGAATCTATTAATGATTTGCAGAATAACCACTACCATTTGTTAACTTGTTGTTTAACCACTGACTTTATTAATGTTGTTTTTTTCCTTTCTTAAGAATGTTAAACTGTCAGCTGAAGTAGAACCATTTATTCCTCAGAAGAAGGGTCCTGATACACTTATGATATCTATGGCTCTCCCTAATGAGAGTGGAGGTGTTAATGGAGTGGAACCAACTCCTATTCCTAGCTACCTGATTACTTGCTACCCATTTGTACAGGAAAACCAGGCCAACAGGTAATTTGTGGTAGTGTTCCTATATGGAAAAAGACACTAACTTTTAAATAAATTTGAATTTCCCTTCTGTCAAAGATGTGCCTGGAATCAAGAAACTGGTTATATAAACACTGTTTTCATATAATTATTGGTAAGTTTGAGAACTCCCTCGCTGCAATTAGTTACTCTTCCGTCCCCTCCTGGGTGAGGATAGAGTTTCTATGACCCTGGGTAATGTTGTCCCCATTTTTCTCCTTTAATCCCTTCGATTCTTAGATTCCTTGTTCTTTCTTGCCTTGGTCAGAGGACTGACCACAGATCCTTCTTGAACCCATCTGCTCTACTCTTAAACCTTCCAGAGCCAGTCAAATGAGTGTCTCTGAATTGTACCCAGCCACCTCTAAAACAAGGTACTAAGAGAAAGGTGGTAGATCCCTAAGTGGTAGAACAGTATGCTGTTAGCAGTCTGAGGCCTTCCCATAACTAACTTTATTTGCACCGTGCATGTGCAAGACTGCATGATGCATTAAACTGAGTATAGGAAGGGATTAGAAACTAGAAACCCTTATTCAAGTCCCAGCTCTGCCATTCACTAGTTCTGTAGCCATGAAGACCCTTATCCTCTCTATATCTGTGTTCCTATGCAGGATGGGGGTAATGCTTTCCTACTTCATAGGAATGTTACAAGGCTTAGTCAGTGTCTGTATGGCACCTTGATATCTTAAAATGCTACAGTGTATAAATTGCTAAAATACTTAACAGTAGAGACCTTTTTAAATCCCACTCTTGCTATTATGACAGCGGGACCCATGGGATCCCAGTCCCGCTGCAGGGCTCTACACCTTTCCTGTGTAGGGCTCTACTTAACAGTCCCTTTACTAGGAACTGCACAATTTGCACAAATTGTTATGAATTTTTACCCTTGTCTGCCCCTCCTCTTTCTAACACATATCTGCAGTTTTCCCTACACAATGTTCTTCCTAGTCCTATGGAGAGGAGGGGAATTGGGCTCAGAGTTCCTGTGGGGCTCTTTTGGTTGTACTCAGCAATAGAGATTGGCCAGGGGGAGACCACTGCACTGCACTGCACTTGCTCTCAGTGCTTCAAGGAATAGAGAACTTACGTGAGTGGTAGGAGTCTGTCTTCATGTGCGCTCTCAAAGTCTGCATTAGGGAACTTAAGAGCCTGGGATAAAATGTGAGCTGATGGCTTGTTTTCCTATCAAAACATTATTCGTCCTGGATAAGTAGGTGAATGTCAGACTAAACTATTGCTACCATAGCTATCTGTAAATTTATCTGGTGTGTCTCCAAGTATTTAATCCATTTTCATTTTCTGATGTGTTGAAATACTTTGAACTACAGTATAAACAAACTATAAATATATATCAGTGCCTCTAATTTGAAAGTTTGTTATAAACAGCTTTCTGTGTTGTGGTGAAGATAATTTTTTCTTGACAATTATTTTGTCATAAGATGTTGGTTTCGTCTGGCCTATTCTTTTAATTGCTTAGTATAACATTAACATTCTTTTGCTTCATAAAATTTAAATCTTTAGGTTTGAACAGTTTTGTTTATCACAGTATCTTGTGTATTTTATACAGTGTCCTTGAATGCAGTTGGAATTACATTATTTCAGTCATGCTCTCAAAATATGTATTATTGCACACAAGGCATTTTTAACAGTTAAGCATTTGAATTAAGCTATTAAAAGCTAAGAGTTCATGAAACAGTTTGCACTAATTTCTTTTTCAGAATAAAGGATTGAGTTACTAGTAAACTCACTCCAATTATGTGTAACTATTCAGCAATTTTATTATTTTTCTCTTTTGGTTTTACAGACAATTTCCATTATATAATAATGACATCAGATGGCAGCAGCCAAACCCAAACCCCACAGGACCTTACCTTGCTTATCCTATTATATCTGCTCAACCACCTGTCTCTACAGAGTATACGTATTACCAGTTTATGCCAGCCCCATGTGCACAAGTCATGGGTTTCTATCATCCTTTTCCTGCACCCTACTCTGCACCCTTTCAGACAGCAAGTGCTGTAAGTACAGTTACAACCGAATGCACTGATCGCCCAAACCAGCCAGGCCAGGTCTTTCCATTATCCAGACAGCGAAGCAAAAGCAGTAACAGGGGACCAGCTGCGCAAAAGGTAAGCGTGTCATTGTTGAGCCCTAATTAACAGAGCAAATAAAAGAATCATGTGAAAACATCTTTGCACAAAAAATGAACTGCTTTTTTGTCCTATATATTCTTGTTCAACAGCATAGGACAAGTACGTATAATAAGATTTTTTTCTCTACCCTTGGTTTCTTCTGAAGCAGTATAACTTTATATAGTTATAAAGTATAACAGTGATGCTTTAATTTTGCATAATTAGTATTTCAAAGGACAAAACAAGATCATCCTATTGTGACTGTTGTACTATAAGAACCTAGATAGAATATCTGAAGGGTGATGCTGTTGGCTTTAGGGAGCTGGGAGACAGGTTGTTTGAGGGTCGTATATGGCCAACAGCTACTTCATTGAATGTTGTTGACTGCCACCTAGGATTTTTTTCTCTCTAGCTCTTGGATATTGCACAAGTAATTTTAAAACAGTAGGTCAGTGGTTTTCAACCTTTTTTCATTTGCGGCCCCCTAAAAAATTTCAAATGGAGGTGCGGACCCCTTTGGAAATCTTTGACATTGTCTGCAGACCACAGATTGAAAACCACTGCAGTAGGTGATCTGTCATGCCAAATGCACTAGGCTGCTTACATTCAACAGCATTTCTGAGGGCTTTATTGGAACACATTTTAGGTACATATATGTCCTAAGAAGCACTGGGTATATTGAAGAAGAAGAAGTCCATTAATATGTTGCACTTAGCTAAAAGGCACTCTGCTTGTGTAGTCATTTGCTTTTGTAGAAATATATTAATTACATTAAACTGCAACATATTAGCATCTAGCATTAGTTGCTTAGGTAATAGTCTCCAAAACGGGGTGGCTTACGGTATAATATAGTATTTGTAGTTCCTTAAATAAGCTGCATGGAAGATATTGAAAACTTTTTTAAACTGATAGATGCTAGAATGTGATCCAAAATAGTATTAACCTTGTGAACTACTGGAGAACATTACCCATAATACCTTGTTTCAAACAGGTGATTTCTGTAAAGAATCTGTTATTACTTTATAAAAATTGTAATAGCACTAACCAAATGATTTTTAACTGTCGTATTTAAATAATGTCTCATGTATATATTTGATTAATCTTTTAAAACAGCAACTACAGTTACAGACACACACAAAAAGCAAAAGGGTTCCAGTGAAAAGTGTGGCGATCCAAAAAGAGACCAGTGCATCAGGCCCTGAGAACAGATCAAAAATTGTGCTGTTGGTTGATGCATCTCAGCAAACAGGTAAGATGTCTTTTTTGTTGTTGTTGTGTGTGTGTCTGTCTGTTAATTAACTGGAACTGCAGCCATACCAATCATGTTTTCTGATCTAGTCAGATCATAAGTTAAAGAGGGTTGGACCTACAAGATGGCTAATGGAGAACTTTAAGAACCAAAGAAGTGCTGTTGAACAGTGGTTCTCAAACTGGGGCCGCCGCTTGTGTTGTTTACTTGCCCCATTTGCAGGTCCGGCCAATCGCGGCTCCCACTGGCCGCGGTTCGCCGCTGCAGGCCAATGGGAGCTGCCGGAAGCGGCAGCCAGTACATCCCTCGGCCCACGCTGCTTCCAGCAGCTCCCATTGGCCTGGATCAGCGAACCGCGGCCAGTGGGCGCCGCGATCGGCCGGACCTGCGGACACTGCAGGTAAACAAACCGGCCTGGCCCGCCAGGGGCTTTCCCTACACAAGCGGCGGCCCCAGTTTGAGAACCCCTGCTGTAGAAAACAAGCGGTTGACTCATTAGTTGGCATTCTTTACTCTCTCAGAACTGAATCAGTGCCACATCATAGGAATGCTGCTGGAGACACACAACTACTCGTAATGACTAAAGGCTCCTTAACCTTCTTTGGGAAAGAAATATTGGGATACACCACTAGTGGCCTGATTAACTTCGACTTGGAATCTTATCTTCCTACCTAATTTCTCTAGTAACTTTAAATTGTACTGTATGGTTTGCTTCCTGTCCTAAACTGTAGTTGCATTGTCTTTGAGCTGCTGTCACATTTCATCTGCAAAATGACAGCCATCAATGGCAGTTGTGATCCCAATAGAACAAATTATGATTATCTGAAGGCCTCAGAGGTAAGAGAGGGCACCCAAAACCTTTAGATGATCAAGGGCACTGGCTCTGCAGACTTTGAAGTCCCCACTCATGGAATCTCAATTTATAGACTGACAGGTGACTTCTCTAGGACTAAGTTCTGCTGAGTTGAGTTGATATGGAGACTCCAGCTAGCAGTATTTATTAGCTGAAGCCTATGGTGTTGGAGTTGAAAAGACACTCTCAGGACTTGTAAGAAAAAGATGTTTGTAATCACTATTTAGAAAAACTTCCTGAAGCTTGAAACTGCAGGGGGTTTTTTTATGAACAGAAAATCTGCCCTCGTTTCTCACCTGCTCATTCAAACTTCTCCACTGTGTGCATTTAATTTGTTGTAAGGTTGCTAATGAATGGTAGGCTGCAAACACTGATTTTACTTTTAGTTTAAGGTAAGAATTATATTTATAGAAATACTGGTAAATTTTTGGGCGGGGTTTGAGGAAAACCCTTGTAAACAATTAAATGGACTCTCCAGATAGCTAGAAAGGTAGGTATTGTGTGTGTCAGACTTGTGGCAGGACTGATAATTGGGCTCCTGATATATTTTTGGTGGAGGCTGATTGTCAGAAAGCTTGAAATCTTGAATCTGTAAACATTCTATAGCATGTAGTAAGTCAGTAGGGCAGGTGTGATTTATCATCTTGAAACTTTAATCAATTATATGACTTAACCAGATAAAAAGCTAAGTATTGAAGGTTTAACGCCACTTGCTGCAGAGAAATAGTTCTAAACAAGAGCTATTAATGGCATGACAGTAAGCTTAAACTTTGGTAAGATTTGGCAGGCATGTGTTAAAACTGGAGCTTATCATTTTATCTAATACTTCATATAGTCTTCCTTTCCACGGCTGTTTTGAAGGGAAACAGTCAACATCAAGTTCAAAAAATGACCTACCTTTTGCAAAAGTCTTCCTGTCTGGCTGCCTGGGGCCTATATGAAATGAATGGTAATCTGTGTGGTTTCTAATGGTTTCACGCTAATTAGAACTCTTGTTGGCAATTGCAGCAGATACCCCCACTGGACTAATGTTAAGGCACTCTGGGAGGCAGTGTGGAGAAATTGCATTTCTGGTGTCTTCGCTCTATCTGTTCTTTGGCAAACTTCTAGTGGCATCAATCTGGAACTTTTCAGGAGTACTAAAAATCACTGTGTTGGGAGAAGGATAAATCTCTTCCAAGAGTGGTCTTCAAAACTTTTTTTCTTCTTCTCTTTTTAGAGACTAGATAGAAGAGCAGTTCTAAAAACCACACAGTGCATTGGATTTGATACAGAAAAAAAATTATTGCAAGGTTTTCTTCATAAATTCAGCTTTATGCATCTTCTGGAATGGTTTTTCTTCACTGTCGTTGCCTGTTCCACTTCTGCATTTAAAGCAATAATGGCAAGAATCCTGCTGTATGAATATTCAGAGACCCAGAATGCAACTTAATGAGAATTTTGGCTTGACAACCTACATGGTGTTACCTAACTCCCTTGTTTTGAAGACTCTTGTTGTTGGCAACAAAACCTGTTTGTTAGCAAATCCCATTGCCAAAAATAGGTTGCATCTTGATCAAGGGATTGGTTAGTACAACACAAATAGATCTGGTAATAGTCTGAAAACTGAATCTTGCTGCTTACTTCATCCAGCACTGTCAGTACATTTCTCTTTTTACTAGTTTGAAACTACCTGGTGCTAAGATTTCTTTTCAGTAGCTTTTGTGTTTTCATCACAAATGTTAATGTATCATTAGTAATATTTTCTGCTTTCCAACAGCAACACAAATGGCTATACTTTTTGACTTACAGATTTTCCTTCAGAGATAGCTAATAAGTCACTTTCTGAGAGCTCTAATACAATGCTATGGAAATCAAAAGGCAGGCGAAGACGTGCATCCCATCCTGCTGCAGAGTCCTCCAGTGAACAAGGGGCCAGTGAAGCCGATATTGACAGCGATAGTGGTTACTGCAGTCCTAAACATAGCAACAATCAGGCTGCTGCTGCCGCCATGACTTCAAAAAATACAGATTCTGGTGCGATGAATGTAGGTGAACATTTGTGAAGTGCCAAGGCTGCTGTTGGTTGCTACGATAATAAAAATATTTTACTAAAATGTTCTTCCTTCCTTTTCAGATTGTAGAACCATCAATAAATGCAGGTATAGCTTTTTTTTAACTTGAAAAAAAAATCTTGAAGCTGTCACATTTGCTGTGTCATAATATATCTTTATTTACATGTTGCTAAGAATATTCCTGTGTCCTTCCTAAATCATTCAGCATAGCCACTACCCCATGCTCCTTCAAATCTCTTCTCAAGACCCATCTGTACTGTCACACTGATGATCAGTTGCTCAATAATAATGAATAGGCAGGTGGCCTGATAATGATTCATTAATTGCACTTGTCTCTACCTAAGCTGGGGGGGGGAGGGTGGGGAGTTGAGGCTTTCAGATGATACTCTCAGCTAAGAATACATGCAACCCTGTGTTTCACATTTGCTTCCTGTTTCCTTCCCCGTTGTGTTCTACCTTACTTGTCTTATTTTGTTGCTATTTAGAGCATAAGCTGCTTGGGTCAGTGACTTTTATTGTATGTTGTACAGAACAGAAAAAGGAAGTTCTTATCCTGATCAGGAGTTTTGAACCCTACTGTAATAATAATGAAAAATAACAAGAGGAATTGTACTAAATTCAGCCCTGAAAACAGTGGGCAGAAAAGCCAATTGGATTGGCTCACTGCATATTATAGACAACTATTCTAATGAGCCCACTATTGCATTAGATGTTTACCAAGATAATCAAACTTCACTATTGGCAGTTGAGTGCCTGTGGCTGAATTCTGTTCTCAAAAGCAGATTTTTTTACCAGATTCTAGAAATCATAATTATGGAACTGAATTTGTAGCAGAGAAGAAACTGTTGCAAGATTCACATCACACTTGGTGTGATCTTTTACTTTGAAGTGACAAATATTCGGTAGTGTATATAATCAAAGTAATACAACTTCTGCTATACTTATTGACTTTTCTTTCATATATTTTTATTTTGAAACTTCTATTTCTTTCAGCTGCCATAAGTTGGACTAATGTAAATTCCCAGGCAACTCAGAAAAAACCTTGGATAGAAAACCCTCATTCATTTTCCAGAGGTGGAAGACCAGCTGAACAGAGAAATAGTTCACAGGTACCTTTGTGTTTTAATTTTAAAACATTATTAATCTCTTGTAAATTGCATCTCTCAAATTATTAAGAATTAACACACAGTAAGCAATGCATTAAAATGAAAATGGAAGTGGAAAGCAAGCTTTATATCATGATTTAATCACTCTATGCATTCTATTTATTGCCTTCGTACTTTGGCTGCAAGTACACATTTGGCAATATTCTGCCTAAAATCTCCAGTTAAGGAGGGTCTGTTTATTCTGGGCATGTCAGTAGTGTGTGAAATGGAGACAAGTCTGGAAAGCGTACCATTTAATAACAGAATAATAAGTGCAACGATTTTCAGGTACTATATGGACAATTTAACAGATGCTTTAAACGACGAGTGGAAAATGCTTCTACTTTAGTCTTTGAAAATTGATCAAAATATTTGGGATTTTTTAAAGTTACAAATTTGTTATGGCATTTACATTCTCTGTTCTCATTCTTGTCAATTTATTTGCAGCCATCATGATCTATTATATTGGTGCCTTTTATATTGTCAGCATTTCCGTTACATTTTCTTTATGCTGCTCTGGTATCTAAGTAGATGGTTTTAAACCAAAAATTGTTCTATGCTAAAATTTGTGCAAGGTCTTGACCTAGCATGAAATTCTTATAAAACTTTACTTAGGAATGCTAATAGATATGTATTGGATAGTTCCCACAAAAAAATCCTATATAAAAAGAGAATGCCCTTTTTAACTTGGACCGTCTTGCATTTTTTTTTGTTTTTGTTTTGTTTTGAAATCTGAAACAAGCTGCTGTCTGTGCTAAGGCAGCAGTCTTGCATCAGGATCCAACAGCACAGACCTTCATGTGTGGCCTAAAATGGCCACTCATTTGCATTTAGACTGGAAGTATTGGAAGCGAAGTATGTGTACACAAGAAAATACTTAGTCTTGTTTGGTGCACACTGGTGGGTTCACTATTTTCTCTCCTTTGTCAGCAAAAGTGTATGTCATACATATTGCTAACACAACATTAATATGTATTAAGCACATGGTATAAATATTGTACATATGAAGGTTGAGCAGTTATGCCAACTAAACTATATTGTTTTCCCCACAATGCTGTTCACTGGTATATCCCACGATACCTTGGAACGGACAACTCAGCATTTAGCATAAGCGGATAGGAAAACTGTCAAAGACCAAATACATTGATACTCTGTGCTCGTTCAAGCTGCGGGGGTACCTTTACGGACCAGTACCTGGAATGCTAGTTAGTATCCAAAACAAAGATCAGAAAGGAACAAAACAACAAGTTAAGGAACTGGTACAGACTGGTGGGTTGAATCTGGGGGACGTATGAAGTGTTTTCTAACTGGTAAGCAACCATTCTATAAATACAAGCAGTCTTTGGGTGTATCTTCGAAGTACACCTTATGCAGAAGGTGAACATGCTGTTAGATGATAAGAACAAGGACATGTACAGTGTCTCCTTTTTTTGTATTGTACTGTTTTGTCTTTAGATAATACATTTGACTAGGTTTGGTTATTTGGGCTCCTGAACATTTTCATAACGAATCCAGTGTAATCAATCACTTAGCTATACAGTTAATCAATACCTTAATCTTTGTGTATGTGAAAATTGGGACTATAGAAGTTGACTGCCCCATAATCTTCTAGGAATACAGCAGTTCTCAGTTGTTATAATCTATTCTAGTAACTTGAGTCAACTCAAGTTTTTCTGGCCACAATTTTACATGGACTGGTGCTTTTGGATAATCTGGGGGAGAAGGAAGAGAACTGGCTTTCTTTTACTCCCACAGATATTTCACATCACTTTTATTTAATCCCACAGACTAAGTGCCAAATTAAGCTCAGGGAGCTATAAAATACACCTCACTTTGCCAGCCAAGCTCATTGCAACTGAAGGAGGAGTTGATCTTCGAACAGCTTCTGTCCTTTGTTCTACCAAGAGGGCGGATTTAATTTGCACCCAGGTCCATTGGCAGTGAGAGCTCAGTCAGAAAATGGTCATGTGTTTGGAATCTGTGGCATGCTCCCTTTTTAGCCAGCCCTCCCATGCCTAGCACTGTGCTGAACTTCAGCCTTATAAATGGAGTTTAAGGAGTTTTTATGCATTTGCAACACAGTTTCCTCGTGCATTTCCCACCCCCAAGGTACCTCTGTGCACATTCATGTCCTTGTAAGCTTCCTGTGAACGTAGCTCTTTCTGCACATAGGGTGGCTTGTGGGATTGGCTTGTGGGGAAGGTGGGGAGGGTCCAGTAAAATAGGTTTTGTGAGGTTTTTTTGGTCTGTTTGGTCCAACCATGGTCAGTTAAGAGAAGATTCTGAGAAGTCACCAAGTGGCCTCTTGTAGTTACCTCCTCTTAGTTCCCTCCGAAAGGGCCCTGTTAGCAAACTGTCCCTGCAGTTTGGAGAGCAGGTAAGCAGCTATTTTTGAGATGGATACAATGCTCTTAATTTTAAAAAATGTGTATTGTACATGTTCAGCATGCCATTATCACACTTAGTTCTCATCGCTGCACCTTAAACCTTCGCCAGCTTAAGGGTAAAACTCTGAAGTCAGCGGCGGATTTGCATCTCCAGTGCCAAAGTTCACAGCGTCACCACTCTCATTTTACTAGCTCATCGGGAACAATGTTTAGCATTGCGTATATTTAGATGTTACATCACAATGGCTCTTTCAACTCATTTTGTAACTACATCGGTTCAGTCTTCAGTTTTAATATTCCTATGTCAACTATTCAGTGGTAGAACAACCTTAGCATTTTGCAGAGTGCAAGGAAAACAGCATTATCATATGATAATACCTCTATGTGCCCAGCCTGAACAGCTGTATTGGAGGGCACATGTCAGGAAAAATACATTCAGTTGGAGTATTTGGTTTCTATATTCAAAACTATTTTAGCAAGAAAAAGGTCTACAAAATGAGTGAAAGCTGATACTCTTCCTTATAATTCTTGGTCTCCAATATCAGAGGAGCCCACAGAAGACCACAACTGTGGTCTTTTAGATAAGGCCTGTCCTGTTCACTGGTATTCAGAAGGAGTGGAAGCTCAGATTATTTCATTCTCACGTCGCCTATTCTGTAATACTGAGGGTGAATATGAAGAGTTTAAAGCGGAACTTTGAATGTCTTTGCTTCTGTTACCTTGTGTAACTAATTGCATATGTATGAGAAGCATATAATGGGTGAATTATATCTCCTTCCAAATGCAAATATAGAATTTGAAAAGGTTTAGTTCATTCCATAAAAGTTGTTGTAAAAAATGTACATTGCAGATATATACTATGTATGTAGGTGTTGCTGAAATTAATTCATTTGTAATCTTTATTTACTCATGTTAACAGTTCAGCTGACGAATACTTTTAAAGGGATGCTGTCTAGTCATAGAACAGTAACAGTTTACATGAGTGCTTATAAAAAAAAATTTAGTTTTCGTTCTTAAACTTTATCCTGTTATTTTCAAAAAGATCAGTCAATTTCACTTTCTTTCATGCATTAGTGTAGTATTTCAGAGAAGGATGAAATGTAAAATATAAACAATCAGCCTTAGTGATAAAAAATAAAAATAAAATTTTAATATTCCAAAGAATTTTTTATCTATGGTCCCACCTGTAGTATATGATTAGAATTATAAACTCTGCCTTTCAATCAAATATTTTCATTTTAAAAAATGCACACACCTCATAGGTAATGTAGCTTATTTTGTAAAAATCAATTTTAACTGGTCTTTTTTTCCATTAGTATAATTGAGTAGCTAGCATGAATGCATTACAGATCTATACCACTTTTAATTCTAAAACACTAAGAACTCTATCCTTGATTTGTAAGTCTGGTTTCAGATGCAGGGGACAAAGCACATCTTCAGAAAGAAGGCAAAAACTTCAGAAGCGACACGAGAAGCCTTTAACCACAAGCCAATCAAGCAGAGCAGAACAAAGTCCCGAACCCTTGTACTTTGAGGTATTTTTTTTGTGTTCACATCACTGTTAGAATTTCAATATGACAAGACCTAATAAAACATTGAACTGGTGATAGTTGCCTCGTGACATCTCTTCTTGCTGAAAACTAATTCTAAAGTTCCACAATGTGATAAAATACACTGATTTCTCACAATACTATATGTTTTGTATACACAAACATTGTATTGCCTCTGTAGTTTAGGTCTACTATGTGTACTTTCTGATTTTATATTAAACTCAGTTAAATTTTGAAACTAGTGTAGTAGATTTCCAGTTTACTTTTTGCTGCAATTTTTATAGAATGTAAAAGTTAACTAAATTCAGTGCTTTTCTCTAATATTGCAGGGATTTCTTTAACATAATATACTACTCAAAATATGTACAGTATTATTTTTACCATTGGATACATGTACTGGATACTTCACTTATAGCCTTGGCCATTCAAGTTAATAACCTTGGTCTTTTGGTGTGTGGTGGGTTTTTCCCCAAGTTGTAGGGCAGTGTGACTTTTAATCCTCAATTCTTCAATTAGGATGAAGATGAATTTCCAGAGTTAAATAGTGACAGTGGAAGTGGCAAAGGTGGTAACATTCAGCAAAAATTTTCACCAAAAGTAGTAAGTAAAGACTTTTTTTATTCTTGATATTTATTTTTAAGATGAAGACCGTTTCTGATTAGTGTTACCTGAATTTGCATTCCCCGTTTGCATGAATCTGTCTGGTCTATTGCAGTATTTACAAGGTCAGAATGGTGGAATTTTTTTAAAAAGCATATACAACACACATTACTATAGACTTCGTTATGGAAATACTTTTCCAATGGTCTTTTAACTAAAATAGCAATGTCAGAGAAAACCATATTGTCAAGAAGCCAAGACTTGGATTCTCCCCCTTCTCTCTTCCTCCCCCCTCTCCCTCCATTGCTACTTTATAACTGTGGAGGAACCACATGTGTATAGAATACCTATTTATTTAAAAAATGAATTGGTCGGAGAAAAAATTCATTGGTAAATTACATAAAAAACATCATCCCAGAATGATGTTTGCTTTTTTTTGCAATAGTGTTACACTGTTGACTCATATTTAACTTGTGGTCCACTATCACCCCCAGATCCCTTTCCACAGTACTCCTTCCTAGGCAGTCATTTCCCATTTTGTATGTGTGCAACTGATTGCTCCTTCCTAAATGGAGTACTTTGTATTTGTCCTTATCGAATTACATCCTATTTACTTCTGGAGAAATGGTCTGATCATTTTGAATTGTAATCCTACCCTCCAAAGCACTTGCAACCCCTCCCAGCTTGGCAAACTTTATAAGTGTACTCTCTATGCCATTATCTAAATCATTGATGAAGATTTTGAACTAATCCCTGCGGGACCTCACGCGTTATGCCCTTCCAGCATCACTGTGAACCACTGATAAATACTCTCTGGGAACGGTTTTCCAACTAGTTTTGCACTCACCTTATAGTAGCTCCATCTAGGTTGAATTTCCCTAGTTTGTTTGACATGTAACATGTCTCTCACTATAAAGATTAAGTACTCCACAAAACTAATTTAGCTATATCATCATGCATACTGTGACTTATGTCACAGCTGTATGTTACTTGTTTGATAGGTAGTATATCTGCTAAATGGACTAGTTCTCTACTTTGCATAATTCTTTTGCTACTGTCTCAGATAAATAATTCCTTTTCTATTTTAACAGCTTGTAATTATGTTTATACTCTTTCTTCTGCAACCTTAGCTGGATGATTTACCTGAAAATTCTCCAATCAATATAGTCCAAACTCCAATTCCTATTACAACCTCTGTACCCAAACGTGCAAAAAGTCAAAAGAAGAAAGCCTTGGCAGCAGCACTTGCCACAGCTCAAGAATATTCAGAAATAAGTATGGAGCAGAAGAAACTCCAGGTCTGTTACATTTTCAAGTAGTAATTGCTAGGGGAGGAATAACCATCATCAGACAGCATTCCTTCATACACTATTATAGCAATAATGTCTGTTTAAAATAGATGCTGTCTTCTACTGATCATTGATAAAAAGACATAAAGGTGAACTGTGTCTTGTGTTCATGTAACAGGAGGCTTTATCCAAAGCAGCTGGGAAGAAGAGTAAAGCTCCCGTGCAGCTAGACTTAGGGGATATGTTAGCAGCGCTTGAGAAACAGCAACAAGCAATGAAAGCCCGTCAGCTCACCAATACAAGGCCCCTCTCATACACAGGTAATTCCACATGCCCACCCGTTAGGGTTAACACCTGTCTAATCGCGCAAACCCAAAGATCCTTGCCCTGCCCCTTCCCTGAGACCATGCCCTGTCCGCCCCTTCTCCGAGGTCCCACTCCCTGCTCACTCCATTCCCCTTCCCTCCGTTGCTCACTCTCCCCCACCCTCTCTCACTCACTTTCACCAGTTTGGAGCAGGGAGCTGGGGTGCAGGGTGCAGGCTCTGGGAGAGATGAGATGTGGGGTGCAGGCTCTGGGAGGGAGTTTGGGTGTGGCTGGGGTCAGCTTCTGGGAGGGAGTTTGGGTGGGGGTGCAGGCTCTGGGAGGGAGATGGGATGCGGGGTGCCAGCTCTGGGAGGGAGTTTGAGTGTGGGAGAGGGTGTGGGGTCAGGTTCTGGGAGGGAGTTTGGATGGGGGTGCAGGGTCGGACTTTGGGAGTGAGTTTGGGTGCGGGCTCTAGGCTGGGGCAGGAGGTTGGGGTCAGGGGGGTCAGCGTTTACCTCAGGCGGCTCCCGAAAGTGACCGACACACCCCTGTGGCAGCAGCTCCTAGGCGGGGGGCCCAAAGGGTCCCCGCGCACTGCTGCCCACAGGCACCACCCCCCACAGCTCCCATTGGCTGCAGTTCCTGGCCAATGGGAGCTGCGGAGTCAGCGCTTGGGGCAGGGGCTACAGGGATGTGCCGGCCGTTTTCTGGGAGTGGTACAGAGCGAGGGAAGGCAGCCTTAGCCCTGTTGTGCTGCCGGGGGCCACCAGGCCCTTTTAAATTGCCCGGGCCCTTGGGCAATTGCCCCCTTTGCCTGAACACTTATTAAAGTGCTATTGTATAAAGTACTATGAACCGCCTCTGGGAAATAAAGGAACAAAATGCACTTTTTGTATTCCCTAATTTGCAAGGAGTCTTCCATTCATAAATACTGACCAGCAAGGTTGTATCTAACAAAGTGCTGTAAAGAACTTTGATGTAGGCTTCATTTTAAAATGCATTTTTTTTTTTTGGCCTGTTGCTATACAGTAAAATCTTTTCTTCCAAATAATGTCAGTTAAATTCTACCTTCCTTCTTAATTTGTTGTATTATAACTAACAAGTATTTACAGATTACATATTCATGTCTAGAAAAATGATATTTACATGTCATTTGAGACAAACTCCATTTTACTCTTAAATGTGATGTCTAGCCTTCTTTTTCTCCTGGAATGAGTAGTCAGTTTCCTAAAACATGAGGCTAAATTGAAGAAATATGTAAATATGAAAACATCAACATTTGGTGATGTACCTTTCTTGTCATAACCTCCCCCTTCCCTTGCAAAAGGAAGGAAAATGTACTTGGTGAGAATTCGTTAGTGGAAATTTTGAAAGTGTCTGGGCTTTCTTTCAGTAGTATCTTTTAGTGAGACTATCTTTCTTGCCTACATTTAGTTGGCGGTGGTGCACCTTTTCATACCAAAGAATCTACCAACAGAAAGTCATTAACTAAAGGACAGCCATCTGTAGGTTGTCTTAATCCTTTGGACTCAACTGCTCCAAAAGTAAAAAGAGGGAAAGAGAGAGAAATTTCCAAACTAAAGCGCCCGACAGCACTTAAAAAGGTAAACCATGCAACTGTTTTGGGACTGTCTTGATCCAAGTATCAAGATTAACAAATAACCATGACTAACAATTCTCTTAATAATGTTTTAGTTGTGGCCTAGTGGGATTAGGAATCATGAACTCCTGAATTGTGATGCCCTGATCTTTAGGACAGCTGGGGACCAACTTGCCCCTAAAGGAATAGTTCTCTAGCAGCGCTTGCTGATTGCTGGAGTACAGCATGCTTCTGACATATCCCTAGAACAGACCCAGCACTGGGTTGTGTGTCTGGTGAAGGGTGGGAAAGGAAACAGAAGCAAGTGATTTATAGACTGACCGTCCAGGGAATGCAACAAAGCTGATAATCTGGCCCATATTTTTCATTATTCATTACAGTATTGGCATCTGTCATTGATACAGTAAATGATAAAATATCAAAGTATCAAAGATAAAGGCTAATAGCCATATAGTCTCAGCACTTTGTATTGTGGTGCTTTTTGATGCTTTTCAAAACAATTTCCAGACACAGTGATAAGATTCTGTTGCAATTTTATTGCATTCTTGCATCAGGTGTGTTTATAAGAGTGGGGGTGGGTTGTGGTGACAAAGATGAATGCTTTTCACCAAATAGAAGTTTGAAAGAGTGTTTGGAAAGTATTTTAATCAAAAGCTATGAAAAAACCCTTCCTGCAACACTACTACTCTAAAAATACTCTGGTATTGTGGTGTTGCCTTATTGCAACTACTAAAATGAAGAGTGCCATTTCTCATCCATCAAACAGATTTAAAATGTGTCGTTTAGGTTCACTTTCAGGAACAAAAAGGCTCTAAAACAAACTATTATTTTTTCCCTATTTCTGTGTGAGGGAAGCTTCTCACGTCATTGTAACAATCTGTAATACTTACAGGTTTCTAATTGATTGAAAACTAGTACCTTGTTCCTAGATTATTTTAAAAGAGAGAGAAGAAAAGAAAGGACGCTTATCTGCAGATCACAGTCTTCTGGGATCTGATGAACAGAAAGAGGTGCCCGTATGTTTGACTGATGACCAGTCTCAGGAGTTAGCCTCTCAAGAAGGTAAGAGTCTTCTCTTGTTTTAGGATTTTTAAAAATAATTGTTTTAAATTGAAGTGTCTATGCTATTTTTTTTTTAATTTTCTGGATTGCTTTTATTTTTAACATGTAACAAAGTCCGCTACCATTAGCTTGTTGTTCATTTTATGATCAGCTATTTCCCTTATGAAAGAATGGAAATTAGATGAAAAAGACCTATTTGAGGCCATTTTGTCCATCCCTCAACTATTCAAGATTCTCATGTGCTTTGTCAGGTCTAATTTTTTTCAAATAAATCAGTCTTCCACTTTCCATTTGAGACGCTTTCTCTGTAATAGACCTTAATTTGGAAGCCTTTCTGATATTTAGCCATAACCTAAACTTACTCAGTGTCACCCATTTACTCCTAGTTTACCTTGAACTTCTGTTGTGTGGGACATTGGAGTCTGTTCTTTGGTATTTGGAGTTTTGTAAATGTTTAAAACTGCCATTTTAGCCAGACTTTTAATCTTTATTTACAAATTGGTTCCAACAAATACTTACATTTCTTGTTAGTTTTATAGTTATCTCAGTCCTAGGTAATTGAGTATTGTAGTCTACTAGTTTGGTTTTTGTTAAATAATACTTCTGACTTTGCTGTCACATTCCAGGGAGTTAAAATAGAAATTTCAAGGGCCAGATCGTCAGCTGATCTAAATTTGCATAGCTTTATTTATTTCAGTGACCACAGATTTGCTATACCAATTTATGCAAACTGAGAATCTGATGCTAAATGTATATTAGTAATATGTTGGGTTTTTTTCTGAGTATTAGTTGGTAGTTAAAAGCACCTGACACAGCTTTCATAAGGCATGAATTTGGGATAGAAGAACTTGAAAAAGTGCAGCAGTCCAGTTAACATGTTTCCCTGAACTAGTTGTGCCCATCAAATTTGGGCTGGAAATCTTGTTAGAACAGGCTTTCTCATGACACTTCCGGTTCTCCTGCTTTTGGTAGGGCCAAAAAAAGCATGAAAACCCAGACTTTTCAAATCACATTCTAGTGCTCCCTCTTCTGTCTAGAATCAGCAAGTACGGAGGCATATGCAATATGGGGGAAAATGCAAGTTTAGTGCCAAGTCATTTGAACTCACGCAAACTATTTGAACTTTTGCTAAGACTGTGGTTAATTCTTGAACTGCAAGGGAACATCCAAAGCTGTCAGCCACTACCTCTTTGGTATGGAGATTTGTGACCCACATTGTGATATCATGGTAATTGTAATGAGTGATACTCTAAAGATTGCTAGGATAGCAAGGATGTATTTAATGTTAAAAGTAGGTAATGACTCTCTGGAGATCACTGTAAAGTAAAGCAGCAAAAAGACAGCATAATTTAAATGTCACACAAGTTTAATTTTTGGAAGAAGTTATTCTCTTCAGGTATCAAGTATCAGAGGGGTAGCCGTGTTAGTCTGGATCTGTAAAAGCAGCAAAGAGTCCTGTGGCACCTTATAGACTAAACAGACGTATTGGAGCATGAGCTTTCGTGGGTGAATACCCACTTCGTCGGATGCATGGGAAAGACGTATTGGAGCATGAGCTTTCGTGGGTGAATACCCACTTCGTCGGATGCATGGGAAAGCTCATGCTCCAATACGTCTGTTTAGTCTATAAGGTGCCACAGGACTCTTTGCTGCTCTCTTCAGTTAGTTCTTGTTTCACTTGTATTCTCAAATACCTTTTTTTTTTAAAAGAGCTCAAATGTAATAATTGAATGCATATTCAAATATCATTAAAGTGGTTTACCTGACAGATATTAGGTGCCTGAAATTTATAATATATGTAAAAATCAGAGAGGGGGATATATGAGTGGCAGATGAGTTCCCTATGTTAAACTGTACTGCTTTTATATATAAATGCATTTCATATTGAAGACGTTTCAAAGCTTTTTTTCATTTATTTCAGAACCGGGGCTAAGTATGCCTAGTGATACTTCACTCTCTCCAGCAAGTCAGAACTCTCCATATTGCATGACTCCAGTGTCACAAGGCTCACCTGCCAGTTCAGGGATAGGTAGTCCAATGGCATCTTCAACAATCACTAAAATTCATAGCAAGAGATTTAGAGAGTAAGCGCTTTGAATTACTCAACTTGAATTCTAAAGGTGTATTCTAGTCAAGTGTATTTTCTAACTGTATTTGAATTTATTGGACTCTTATAAGTTGTCGGTGAACTTAAGTTAGCCTATCCCCCATGTAAAAAAGGTACTACTCCCTGGCGCTTTGCACCCTCTGTTTCTTACGTGCTTCTGATGGAGCAGGTTATAATATTCCTGAGGGATTTTCTTCAGCTAGGCTGCTGCTTTTAAGAAATGGAGTAGGCAGAAAAGTCATTTCAAATGAAGGGCAACTTTGAGTTTGGGGAGCTGGAAACTCTGCTACAATCCACCCCTACTACAGTGGAATTACCACTAACCAGTGCTCGAAAGCATCCCTTATTGATTATCAAATTTGATCAAGGAATAGTGAATTGTAAAATATAAGTGTGTATGAGCTATCCTCTTTAAGTTGTGGGCTCTGGGTGGGTGGGTTGTATACTGACAATTTATTTCACTGTGGTTTCATTTTAAACACTTTCAGAATATCCTTACGTTGTTTTAGGTGTACAGTTCTTTACTTCTAAATAAATGTATTTAGTATACTTAGAACAAGTAACAAAAAAAATTATTTCTGCCTAAAATCATTTAAAGGCACACAGCAATGAGATGCACTGCTGAATTTGCTGTATGCTAAAATGTGGTGGTTTCTGAATTGACAGGTATTGTAATCAAGTTCTAAGTAAAGAAATAGACGAGTGTGTGACTTTGCTATTGCAAGAGCTTGTCAGCTTCCAGGAACGCATTTACCAAAAGGATCCCATGAGAGCTAAAGCAAGGAGAAGGCTTGTTATGGGTTTGCGTGAGGTTACTAAGCACATGAAGTTAAACAAGATAAAATGTGTGATCATTTCTCCTAACTGTGAAAAAATCCAGTCAAAAGGTACAAGTGCTTTAATAAGAAATATTTTAGTGTATAAATGCTATGTGTATATTGCATTTTCCCCAACACTACCAGTGATGCTAACCTTGTTAATCCATTATGTTGACTTCTGAGTCATTTTAAGCATCTTCCATGCTGTCCTATAAGCATGACAGGTCATCTTTCAATTCCATCGTAAAGCTGCCACACTCTGCTTCAGGCCCATTTCTTTAACTCCAGGAACTAGTGGGGCAGGAATTGTGCCTTCCTGTATGTGGGATTGGGGACTGTGCCTAGTATATTTTGCACACTACGGGAATGCAAATGATAACTTCCTGAGATATGTAAGAGAAGGAAAAGATCTATTAAGAAACCGAGAATCCAGTTTCATAAAGTTTCTGCTTTAGTATTCCTGGTGCACAACATAGCACCATGAGAGGGTTCAGAGCATTGTTAGGTGTACAGATTAACTGATCATATTCAGTAAATAACAGACTTGATTGTACTTTAATAAAACAAGCAAATTTACTGCATGTGCACTGCATTCAAAGCCTTACTGCTTTCTGGCAGTACATGGTTTAATCTAAATATCTGGTGACTAACTATGTGTACTAAAGTTTTAGCTGATAGCCACTGACAAAAACTGTGGAATACTGGATTGGACCAAAGTGCACTATTAAGATGACTGTTCTAAGCTTGAGCTTTGTGGTTTTTTTTTTTCTCCTAAGGTGGATTGGATGAAGCTCTGTATAACGTAATAGCCATGGCACGAGAGCAAGAGATTCCTTTTGTCTTTGCACTGGGACGTAAAGCTCTTGGTCGTTGTGTGAACAAGCTAGTTCCTGTTAGTGTGGTGGGAATCTTCAACTATTCTGGTGCTGAGGTAAGCAATTGATTTCTGAACAGATGGCTGAAATAGTTAATGCCATTTCAGTTTTTTTGTCCTGTAATACATGTTTACAAACTTTGTTCCCTGCCCTTGGGCTCACAAGCTAACTGTCATGCATGTATGCATTCATACATACATACAGAGTGTTGACTGGCATTGGATGCCAATTTTATCTTGGCCTATTTATTCTAAAGTTGCTTATCTCTTTTAAATTTGACATGCTGCCCTGTCAGTTCTGTGATGTAAGATTTGTCACCCCTTCTTCCTCTAAATCTTTGGAACATGCTGGCAGACATCTTTTGAAGTGCCAGCTGAAATGACACGGAACGTCCAGGATTGTAGGGCATGCCAGCATCTTGAAGTAAGGCAACCGTTGGCCAGTTACAAAGATTAGGAGGTTTTTAGAAGAGGTCTTGGGAGGCCTCAAAGGAGCACTGGTATCAAGGGCATCTACCAGCTACCTAAAATCCCCATATTTCATCAGAGATGTATGCTTCTGCTTCATTAGGTCAACACACCTTGGGAGGGTTGTGGGTTGCCATCATATTAGATGTGACCTGTGCATGTATCATATCATATCCTGGCCTGTGATCAGAAGTAATGCTGTGTGGGCGAGATGGCACTCAGGGTCACATGTCCATCTCTCTCCCTCCCCAGCCCCTTCCCCTGGTTTTAACTGCTTTGCTTGTACTGAGCATGCTCACACAGACTGAGCATGCTGAATAACATCTGCTGAAGCTGCTGCCCTCACTCTGTCCTTATTTATGCCTCCGCACTATCAGCAGGTACAGATTGTCTCTGCCTGTGATATAACCACTCCAACCCTGCAGGTACAGCTCATCTACTGCATGCACTAAAACTAGGGTGGTGAGCTTTTCCTCATCTGTTGAGGAAAACAGTGAGGAAAAAAGCCATTTTTTGAAAATAAAACAGAACAAAAACTGTATCTCATGTTGTAAACACATTTATTCTTTAAAAATTAAAAAGGGCAGTCATTGTCCAAAATGAAAAGCTTGCGATTCTAAGGGAAAGGTAATCAAATTCTCATTCAAACTAATTAGGCCTACCACTCTTCCTTTGTCTGCTCTCAGATATGAGAGTTTCCACAACCCACTGATTTTTTTTTTCCAGCTTCATGCCTATGAAGTTTCAACCAAAGCAGTCCGAGTGTGCCAAAAATACTCAGTTGATAACTAAGTTGCCCGGAGAGGCATGTGAGAGTCTTCTAAAAATTGACAAGTCTTAATATCTGTTCTAACATCCGTGACTACTTACTTGGTGGATGCAACAAACTGCGACAAGCAAAGAGAGAGGTTTGGGGTATAAATGTGATTCTTCCATTTTAAAGCTAGACGATAATGGGAAAAACTCAGGATTAATCATAGTATTGGAAGGGACCTTGAGAGGTCATCTAGTCCAGTTCTCTGCACTCATGGCCAGACTAAGTATTATCTAGACCATTCCTAACAGGGGTTTGTCTAACCTGCTCTTAAATCTCCAATGATGGAGATTCCACAACCTCCCTAAGCAATTTATTCCAGTGCTTAACCACCCTGACAGGAAGTTTTTCCTAATATCCAACCTAAACCTTCCTTGCTGCAATTTAAGCCCATTGCTTCTTGTCTTATCTTCCGAGGTTAAGAAAAACAATTCTTCTCCCTCCTCCTCCTTGTAACAACCTTTTATGTACTTGAAAATTGTTATGTCCCCTTTCAGTCTTCTCTTCTCCAGACTAAACAAACCCAGTTTTTTCAGTCTTCCCTGAAAGGTCATTTTTCTAGACCTTTAATCATTTTTGTTTCTCTTCTCTGGACTTTCTCCAATTTTGTCCACATTTTTCCTGAAATGTGGCACCCAGAATTGGACACAATACTTCAGTTGAGGCCTAATCAACACTCCTACTAATACATCCCATTTTGAATTTTAATCCTATCCTCCAAAGCACTTGCAACCCCTCCCAGCTTGGTAATTGTGCACAAACTTTATAAGTGTACTCTCTATACCATTATATAAATCATTGATGAAGATATTGAATAGAAGCAGACCCAGAACTGATCCCTGAGGGATCCCTCTCATAATGCCCTGCCAGCATGACTGTGAACCACTGATAACTACTCTCTGGGAACAAAAACAATGAGGAGTCCTTGTGGTACCTTAGAGACCAATACATTTATTTGGGCATAAGCTTTACCACTCTGATACCTGTCTCTGGGAACAATTTATCCAACCAGTTTTGCATCCACCTTATAGTAGCTCCATCTAGAAGTTGAATTAGCATAATTTTTGTTAGCTTGAATTGGTTATGTTGTCTGTCAGGGTCATGGGTTGAGCTCAGAACATGGAAACTTGGTAATGAAATGTCTTGCTTCTTTTGAATAACTTTTTTTAGTTTTGTCCTGGGTTTCCGGTTCTAGATTAAATAAATTAGGTCAGATGCCTTTTTGACTCTGAGACCGTTTTTTTTACCTTGCAGTCTGACCATATTACTCTGACACTTCATTTCTTTTTGTAACCTTTAGTGCATCTCTCTAGTAGTCCCTTGTTTATATCAGCCATTGGCTGCTATCTGATCAAAAGTCCTCCTTACCCTCATTCTCAGTGTAAGTTTCACCATACTTAAAGTAGTTGGATGCAAATGTAGAGACAGTCTTCCTATGAATTCCACTAAGTATTGTTGGGAAGCCTGGGTATATTTATCCTTTTTCAGTCAACCAACCCATAAGGTGGCTGATGGTTACAGAAGAATTTTAAACTTCCACAATGTGTGTTAGGACTATATTAGGTGTTGCTACATTCTAAACAAGGCTTAAATAGTGCACTGAACACCCATGTACTTCAAAGGCAGTCATCCTGAAGTTTTCCCATCATTTCATTTTATTTTCATTTTCTGAGCAAACAGGAAAGCCTATATGCATTCTTGGATGGCATCTTCAGCAATTTGGGCACAGTATTCTAACGTTCTCTTTTCAGATGTAGGAACACAATCTTCCCTGTATGGATGTTAGCATCCATGTTTGGGTCATTTGGTAATCACTAAAACTTAATCACCCATTTACAGTATTGATCAGCAGCTTTCACATTTACAACAGTTAGAATGAGAAACAGACACTTATTGAATTTAGTACCTGGTAGACTGAAAAATAAGATGAGTTGTCCTCCTCCTTCTAGAGCTATATGTAATCACATACCCTCCTCCTCTTCACCACCACCTGCCAGAAGTTTCTAGGAAGCCAGTCTCCTCTAACAGGTCACAGTACCATCCATAGACCTGGTGCTGGAACTGGGGGTGCTGCCAGTGACAGTAGATTTCTAGTCTACTTTCCTTCCTTACCCCCAAAATCCCACTGAATGTGTATTCTCTGGGTAGAATGGAGGGTGCAGCATGGGGGAATGGAACAGGCTTTTCATATCCCTGACTAAAACTGTAGGATTACTGATAGCTCTTGATGCCTGAGGCCTGGAATTTTTGACAGGCACCTCATGGATTGCACCATGAATGCTGGCATCAAGGAGTTAAAGATGCTGAGGTGACAGCACTTTTGTCCTCACAATAATAGAAATGGTGGCACTTATTGGTGTTAACCTGTCTCTCCTCTGATTTCGAGTAAAGTATAAAGGATTCGTAGTTTGTTGTTATTACATGTACCTGTTACCGTTATGTGTAACATGACTAGTTTGTGTTGAGCATGTTTATTTAATTTTACATTGTGACTCTTTGAAATTGAGCATGTAATTATTTCTGCGTAACTGAACTTGTTTCAGGTATCGTAGCATGTACTGTAACTTAAACCACTTAACAATTAAGCAGATAACAATATCTTTCTCAAGATGTAAAGTTTTTAATAAACATATTGATGGGGTGGAAACAAAATTACCAGCAATGAGTGTGCTAAAACAGCTAGCCACAGACAGTATTGAATTTTAGATCATGTTGCATCCTTTGTTACCTGCTAAGGAAGGAAGTGCCCATTAAATACTTAAATTGTCATTCATCTTTTGTTCTAACATATATTTGGAAAGAGATTCAATATCAAGTGCGGGCCAGTAATGGAAAACTTCATTAAATATTCATTTTACTGGCTCCATATGTTTATGGTGGTTTCTTTGGTGCAAAAATCAGACTGCTATTCTAATCAGAGGTTTCCTTGAGCATGTGATTCCATCTTTTGCTAAGCCTGGCTTGCAAGATGTTGCGACATCCCACTGAAAAGGGCTATCGGCTTGATATTGTAGATAATCCATATCTAAATGTGCTATAATATAATAGGCTCAAACCTATTAATCATTGCACAAAATAAAACCTGATTAGATCTGTGCCATTGGGAAGCAAAGACTAGTAGTGAGACCAAAGAGGCTTAAGATGACAAAAATTAGTAACTAGTGTTTTTTTAAAAAGGGAAAATTCTGCAAGACTGAGCTTTATCATTTGGGATTTTAGGCTGAGTGAACTCTTCCTGTGAGTCTGCAAACAATGTAGGAAGGCAGTGTTCTTTCCCTCCTACCCATGCTTCATCAGAAATAACTCTAGCAAAAACTTGAGCTGTGTAAATGCAGAGGCATTCTTAAAATGAAACTTAGAGCATGACTGATTATTGCCCAAAATAAAGGGCACACTCTTTTTGACTAGACAGGCTTTAGGGTTGCATGTACAGGACCTGTTAATAAAAGGGAAAATGTGTCAAGTGAAAATGTTCGTGAAGAAACTAACAAATATGAAAATGTCTTCATATTTAGAGCCTGTTTAATAAGTTGGTCTCGCTGACTGAGGAGGCCAGAAAGGCATACAGAGATATGGTTGCATCAATGGAGCAGGAGCAGGCAGAAGAGGCCTTAAAGAATGTTAAGAAGGCACCCCATCACATGGGTCATTCTCGTAATCCCTCTGCAGCAAGTGCGATTTCATTCTGTAGTGTTATTTCAGAGCCCATATCTGAAGTGAATGAGAGAGAATATGGTAAGTATTAAAAATGTGTATTTATATTACATAACATAAAGTAGAAATAGCAATAAATATTAAACTATAGGTAGAAAAAAATCTCCCAATACTTCCCAGTCTAAAATATATTCCACACCTTAGAGAAGGTGATCCAAATTGGTTAGGCTCTTGGGTGAGACTGAGTAGTCTTCTGGGGAAGTTCTTCTAGAACTGACCACATAAAAATAATGGCATTGGCCCTAATCCTCAGATTTGTTCCAAATACTTTATTGATGCAAAGCAACCCTAAAGCCAACCACAGGAGGATCACTTCAGTTGCCGAGGGATTCTCTGTGGTATTGAGCTGGTATATGAAGGCCAGTGGTGAGATTTGAACAGGGGGTTGTGTGTATAGGGCAGAATAAAGGGGGGGTGATTGGGGAAGTGAAGAGATGAGAGGTAGACAGGAGCTAAATTATTTAGGTCTTTGAAGACTAGAGCAGTTTGCTTAAATTTGATGTTGAAGTTGAAGGGAAGCCAGTGAAGGGTTTTGAAGAGTTGTCGTGGGCTGAGCAACCTACAAGATTGATTTATGCATCAACTCTTAAGTACACATAGTGTAACAGCTGGGATAGTACCAGTTGAGAATGAAATACTTGTCTAACTTAGGTTAAGTTGTTAATAGAATTGCTGATTTTTTTTTTTTCCTGAGCACCCACTTTACTCAAAATAATGCCTTGATTACTTGGAGTGTGTTTTGTTTTGTTTTTTTAATTTTACGATCTAGCTTAGAGGTTGCTTTTTTTTAACTTCTTGTTCAGAATTCTACAGTTATTAACAGACAGTAGCAGGATGATGATTAATACTATTTTGGCAAATTACCATGGGATTCTGGCACTGACAGTAAAACCCTGCTGCGTGGTCTCCCCACACACCATCAGCCATGCCATTTCTTACTGAGTGTAGTGCTGAGGCAAGCGCATCAACACCTTTTTTAATTTCAGAACAAAATGTGTTTGAGAATCTCTTTAAGCATGAAACAGTTTTTTCTGCTCTTGGTTTTTTTTCCAAACTGTTCACTGTGTGATCATGTTTGGACAAGTATAGTGTTACATGCACATGTTTCCCTTTTATGCTTTTTACTTGAACAAGATCTTAGGATTTTTTTTTAATTGTGTAAATGTTTTAAAAACTCTCTAAGCTAGGGTTACCATACATCCGGTTTTTCCCGGACATGTCCGGCTTTTTGGGCTTCAAATCCCCGTCCGGGGGGAAATCCCAAAAAGCCGGACATGTCCAGGAAAATCGGGACATGCGGGGCCGGCGGTGCTGGGCCGGGGGCCGGCACCCCAGGGCCCAAGCCGACCCAGGCTGGAGACGCCGGGGGGGGGGCCAGGCTGGGCCGCACCTCCTCTCCCCACCCCCCTTACCTGCTTCAGGCTTCCCGCGAATCAAATGTTCGCGGGAAGCAGGGGAGGGGGCGGAGTTGGGGCGGGGACTTTGGGGAAGGGCTGGGGGCGGGGCTGGGGGCGGGGCCGGGGCCCTGTGGAGTGTCCTCTTTTTGGACACTCAAAATATGGTAACCCTACTCTAAGCTGTCAGTTTTCTGATGAGCTTGTGGTGTCTTGATTTGCAGAAACAAACTGGAGAAACATGGTGGAAACATCTGATGGGTTAGAAACCTCTGAAAATGAGAGAGAGTCCTCATTTAAGACAACTGCACCAGAAAAATCTAGCAGTGTTCAAATTGAGAAAGCCACTGTTAACAAACAGCCACTTACAGCTACAACCGGAACTACCTCAACTGCAAGTCATGGAAAATCCTTGCCAAGTGACAAAGAAGAGGTGAAGCCAGATGACAATCTGGAGTGGGCCTCACAGCAGAGTACAGAGACAGGATCTTTGGATGGCAGCTGTCGTGATCTTTTGAATTCCTCCATGACCAGTACCACCAGTACTCTTGTACCAGGAATGCTTGAAGAAGAGGAGGAGGATGACGACGAAGATGATGAGGATTACACCCATGAACCTATATCGGTAGAGGTTCAACTTAATAGCAGAATTGAATCTTGGGTCTCAGAGACCCAAAGAACTATGGAAACCCTTCAACTTGGGAAGACCCTTAGTGGTGCAGAGGGAGACAATGCAGAACAAAGTGAAGAGGAAGAGTTAGAAACTCCTGAGCAGGTAGATCCAGTAATTGATGGTGAGGAATGGACAACTGATAAGCACGCAAGTAATGCCCAACATAAACCCACGATCAGCAATTCTTCGAATAAAGAACACACAGATTCCAATTACATGTTGTAAAAATAAGCACAAACTCAGGAACTCTTTAAAATTATAATTAACTGTTGTAAGGGTTGCAGCCATTACTTTGTATGCTTCATCTCAACATTTTGCACTGTTTAACATTTAATGTATGTATTTAATTCACAACAAATATTTGTAGCTGTCTTTTGTTAATTGTTTCATTAAAACCTATAGTTTAGCTTTTAATCAGTATCTGTGTATTTCCCAGAATTGAAACCATCTGTGTAAAAATTTCAGTCAGTATTAGATATTCACTTGAGCTTCTTTTGTAAACGGAGAAACTATTTATAAATGACCAATTGTAAGCAAGAATCTTCTTAAATTTGACTGTTTCTTTTTTTCAACACATGAGCTGATCTATGTTTTAAGACTTGCAACAGTTACCAGCGTTTTGCATTGCTGATACCCCAATCATTTTAACCTGATTGGCTATAATTTTCTAATTATACCAGGAAATAAAATGGAAGAGAAGCCAGAAAAATCCAAAAACATTTTTCTTGCAGTCAAAAGGAAGAGGAGATTATAGAGAAATGTATGCATGATTCTTATGCTAAGACAGATGCAGCTTTTAGTTGGGTCTATGAGGGTATATCACAAAAGATGCGGACTGTAATGAGATGGTTACGATATGTTAGAATAACTTTAACCCAAAACCACATAGCAAAATAATTGTAGTTAATGTATGTGTTTGCTTTTTTCCAATGAAATACTTAAAAAAATCACTGTGTGCGGAGTCAAAGTAAGGGAACCATTAACCATGACCACCATCCATGTTGTTCTTAGTAACTGACTGCTTCCTTATTCTTTCACTTACCTCAGGAATGCTGATGTGCATAATTTTATTTACATTAAATAAAACAGGCATAAGTGATCTGAGTATTTAACAGTAAGTGTGACTGATATAATAGCTAAGTGTATGGTTGTGTTCACTTGCATGCTTTGATTCTGGCCACTTTTATATTAAGTTCAGGATCAATTTTAGGATTAATTCTCATTGAGAATGTGAACTCTTGTTCCTCAGTTGTAGCAGCCTAGTAGTTGACTTCTAGAGTAGTAAAGTAGTTGTTCTGGGAAGGCAGGAAAGTGCCTTGGAGTTCTGAGAGGTGTCAGTGGTTCAAAAAAAAAAAGAAGCCAGAAACGAATAAGCTGCCATAGAATTATCCATTTTTGTTCCTAGTATTGAAATGAAATCCATTCTCTGGTGATGAATTTATTTCAGATTGGGGGTGGAGTATATGTCTAATCCTTGCACACTAAGTCTGAATTTTCTAACTTTGTCCAGTACTGGCAATAAATGTACTGAAGCCATCAGCACCAAGGACTTGACTACAAGAGTAGCCAAAGAACCATTTTCACGAATAACAGTTTTTCATGGCAAACATAGATTTGTTTTAATTCTACTTCATTATTCTCTAGACCACTTCCATTTAAAAAAAGGTAACTTTCAGTAACACAAAATAAATGGACATTTTAGTTGCACATTTAGTTTACGTAATTTGGGACCAGCACTTTTTTAGTATTTGTAATACTGGTATTTCATGTTGCACTGGGAAACTCAGACTCCAGGCTTAGGAAATATCTAGTCCTGTCTTTCAGATGGTAATGAGCATTGTGGAAACAAAGAGTTTGAGTATTATGTAAATAACACTTTGGTATCTGTAGACATAGTAAATGCTATGCAGGACATTGTTGAAGAGCTGTCCTGTCATGTTCTTAGTTCCTTGATATAATCTTCCTAGATATTAGCAACAGACTTTTATAGGAATACAAAGAGTAAAGAATGATGCCTCCTAAATATTAACCCAATTGTTTGTACTGCAGATTTTATTGTGCATACACTTCGAAAGGTTTAGTTGATTTAGGAAATGATAGGGGTTTGAACTGCTGACAGAGGATCAATGTTTGCCCTTGGATGTGTAAGCACAGCTTCTGTCAACAACTAAGATCATCTGTGCACACTAAGGATAGAATTTGACCTAGATTTTCCCAAAATGGAAAGTGGGATTACAAAAAACTATAATCATCTGTACATTTCCTTTTGCTTATTCCATGACAGTGATTCAAATAACTCTTGATCTTGAGGTAGTAGCATTACAAAGGTTTCTTTTTTGTCTTTTCTGAACTTGGACAGTCCTTTTAAGATTTGACATTTATATCAAACAGGAAATCTACTTGTAATCTTCAACCCACTGTTTAATTGTAATTTTGCTACAGATTACATAAGTATATTATGAGTTCATTAAAGATGATACAGCTCATCTAGTACCTCTCTATTTGCCAGCAAACAAGGAGAATCTTTGAAAATGTGAATGATCATCTCCAGAAAGGCAAACCAAAACAGAGTAAAGGAAACCATCCATTTAGAACGTTTCCTTTTGATAAGATGAGAATGAGAGATAATTGCGAATGGAATGACTGTGTGTCTGGGAAGAGGTCCATTTGCATCTAAAATTAGGGAAGTTCCTTGCAATGTGCAGCACTTAAGAGGTATAATCTTGATCTTGTGGTAATCTTGTTTCTATCAGCAACAGAAATAAAAAAAGCATAACCTTTCCGATAGGTTATTTTATAGTGCCATGATTAATTTTTTAAGATAGCTGGATTTCTATTTCACTATAAAAATATACAATTTATTGTACAGGTTGTTACACTCCAAAAAACAGATGTTTCTGGAGTTATATGACTATAGATATGTTTTTTTGTTGTGAAGATTATTCAGAAAACAAATATCCATTTTTTTTTCTTTCAAAGACTATTGGATTATTTAGATTTCATGCATCTGGCAAAACATGAAAAATAATGTGTGGTAGGGCATCTTTACAAATGAATTGATAGAGGTGACTATGCATAGAAATTATTTTATATAACACTTCTGGTATTTGTGCAAAAATAAATTTAGGGGAAAAAATCTGGAGAACGTAGTCCTTCATCAGACCAAACATATATATTTTTTGTCTGAGTAAGGATGAAGGCCCTGGTCCTGCAAATACTTACTTACATACTTGACTTTAGGAACACGAGTAGTTCCACTGATCTCAGCAGACCTATTGGTATGCTTAATTGAAACACCTTTGTAAGTGTTTGCAGGATTGAAACCAAACAATGACTGCAGGATTTGTCCCGTATTTTTAAAATTAAAAAACTATAGAAAATGTTCTTCAATAATGCACTTGTCTGATTTCTTAACATAAAGGTGGGAGATCTCTAATGCTTATGTGGGTGAGGATTTTCACATGATTCAGTCCAGTTCTTTAACATGAAGTTTAAATTTTAATAACATTACTTTAAATATGAATGCAAAAAAGTTTTATTGTTTGAAAAGCTGCTGTTTGCTAAAACTGTCTAAGTATTCTCTGTGAAGTTGTGCCAACTAATCAAAATATCCAGTTGATTTTAATGTTGATCATATTTTAATCATTAAAATTCAATGTGAAGATTTGTTTACAAAAACAAAAACCAGCAGAAGAAAGCCATAGATGCAGCCTATCTGGGTTTTTAGCCATCCCTTCCACACACAATGAAATGTAAGAATGTCTAACTTGAAATTTATACTGAGTGATAACACTGAAATTAGCAACACAGTTGGCACAGCCCACCTTCTAAATGTTCATAAATGGTTCATATATTTTTAATAGATTCTAATAAGATAAACAGTTAATCTTTAATGTCTTAACATTTGTAGCAAAACTTAGGTTAAACAGTAGAAAATTATTATAAAAGATGAAGGGTTTTGTTTTCTTTTTTGCTGTATGAAGGATAATTGTTCGTTCTATCATACTTTTTTGGAGTAATAGCTTTTTTTGCACTATGTAAATACTAGTGGGGATTCTTCCATAAACTAATAAAAGTGATTGTAGAAATATCTCTTACTACGGTGATATATTCATTTACCAATTGCAATGTCCTTATTTCATGTCTGTTCCAAAACTTCACCAGCACCATATGCTGCCTAGTACTTTAGTTCTGATTAAGTATGAAGATTTGTTACTGCTTTTCCGGGCAAGTACCAGTGTTTTTCTGTAGCTTGTCCACCAGGTGGTAGTGTGCATGGTATCTTTACAGTTTGCCTCCTTGGAAGTAAACAATGTACCAGCTAGACATTGTTCCCAAGTGCAGAGTTCATTACTGGGAAAGTCACTTGGTTGGTTCTCTTTGGTTTCCTTCACTGAAATGTTTCCAGGTAAAACAACCTGTTTAAAGATTTTGTATCATAGGAGACATACATTTTGGTCACTTACAAAATTGAAAAGAAAACTCAAGTGAAAACTCTTAAGTCCTTTGCAGAAGTTCTCTGTATAAGTGTAGTTTTAGTAGAACTCTTGGAACTTACAAATTTGAAAAAAGCATCAGAAGCATCTTGTTGAAGACGAGTCCTAAATCAACTACACATTTTCAGGATGAAGTAAAGTTGGCCTTGAATGCATACAAACAATCATCACTGAGTGTGACCCAGACAAATAAAGCAAGGCATTAAAACCAGAGGCTGATACTCATTAACACTTCCCATTAATCTGCTCATGTCTTGGAATTATCACCATGGCATGAACGCAAAATATAGGTTTTCTATATAGTATGTAAAATCTACCACTGTTCAGAAATTCCTGCAAGGGAACTAATCAATGTCACTGTCTTGGAATTGAAATAAAACTGGGTGTGCAAAATCCAAGATGAATATCACTTCCTACTTAGGAGTAAAAGGGACAAAAAAAGCAGCAGATAATGACAATGTTTGGAGCTGTTGACATCTTTTGTACCATAGTGTGGTAACACATGGGTTTTTGTATTGTCCTCATCTGACCTCTGCTTAGATCTTTATCCCTGCATTACTGAAGATCCTGTGCTAAATATCCCTTTGAAAATTTGTGTCTCTTGCATGTGGGGAGCTCCTGACTTTCCAGTGACTCATCACAACTGCTCACTTCACCTCAGCTATCAGCACTACACCATTAACTGGTGTTGCTACTCCCATGTCCTTTGAGATTGGAAGTACATTAATGATTTTCTATATATAAAATCAGGTTCATACTGTAGTTTTGCTCTTGCAGTTCTTTCATGGCTTTTGAAAGAACTTCCATTACAAACCCTAAATTTCAAATTCTGTAACTTTCTGCAGAAACAATGCTTTGAGATTTCTCATGTATGTTCTCAACCCAAAGGTGAATTTTGGAAAGTCCCCAGAGAATATTTGGTCCTTTGACTTTTACCACAACATTTCCATAGTTCAAAACAATTATTTAAATCAAAATATTACAAATGAAAGCCCAAACTTCCCATGAGTTTAGTCCTCAGTGAGAAAAACATTTTTGAGTAAATTCCGAAAATAATCACATCTGGGCCTGAAATATGAACAAGACCAAAACATAATTTCTGATTAGTCTTTTAGCATTGCTCTGAGAATGCAATTCCAGATTGGAGCACCAAACGGAAATATTTGAAATGGCCATTCAAAAAAAACAACAACCAACAAACCTGTTTAATTAGATGTTTGAATTTACGCTCTGAGACATCTACTACAATTATCCCAGTACTTCAAAGAATAACTCAAAGCACTGACCCACCACTGCTCTTAAAGGCTCACATTCCAAGAAACTAGAATCTATTTTAATGAATGTTCATTAACAATAATCACAATATGTGATGTTACTTGATAGCATGCATGCAATATCCATGCTAGTGCCTTTCTTTTTCTTTAAACATAGGCAGGGTGGAACTACATAATACACCGTTTATAGGTGAGACACTTTATATTCAAGAAGTCAGGGAGCTAGTTATTCCCATATTAAGAAGTCTTCTGCATTTTTGAATGTTTCTACATATGAAAGTATTTAAATTACACCTTGTGCATCTGCCTTTTTGTATTGCTGTGTGCAAAGTGGCAGAGCTATGGGAACAAGAGCTCTGGATTTCTCTGTGTAAATTCTCCCTTATGTTGCAGTAATGCAGCTTTTGCTTTTAACATGATAGTGGTTTGCCAGAGAGGTACTGTTTGTTTTTTGTGGGAAAGGAGTTGGTGTGTAGGCATTGACGCAGGTTGAATATCTGCAAATACTTCATAAAGAACCAAAATAATTCACTAGCCGATATTAAGAGCAAAGCAATTCTCAGTTGGATAGTACTGTCTCAGTTTCATCTAAAAACTATGACCAGCTACCAGTTCTAGCTCTTGCAGAAAATTTTTACCAAACTGTTCTGAGTTAGTATCTGAAGCATCACTATTGTATTGACAAAGCTGAGAATTTGGCATGATAATTTTTAAACTGGCATGTCGGAGATGTGTGGTGAAGAGCTCACTGATTCAAATCACTCTAGTTATGCAACGGGCTAGCTTTTGGATTTTCTTTCAGATTTTTTTCAACCACTGCGTAGGCAAATGAGAGAACTATTTGTATAATTCTGGTACCTCCTTTTTTGTGTTTATGTGCTCAACTTCCTCAGAAGAAAGACACAGAACAGGTAACTAGTTTTCCTCATGGTTTCTTTTCTTAGATTGCTGAGAAGTTCACTATGAAATGCAGGAGGGAACTTTCCAAGTTGGAATGCCCGGCTGTACAATTTGGACAAAACAGAATTATGCAGTTAAGTGCTATATTTAACCTTTTCCTTTGACAGCTACTTGATACCGTCTGTCAGTACAGCAGTCATTGATACACGTTCTCTATGACAGGCGGATGTGTGTGGGTGTCCATCTGGACATTATTTAAAATATCCAGCTATCTGTAACGAGGTTAGTTCCCAAGGATAGTACTTTAATGAGCAAAGAGGAGTCTAGTAGTCATGGAACGCTGATACCAGATTTGCTCTTACGTGAGGACAAACAGAGGAAATGGAGCAAGCTGCACTTCCTGTAGTTATATTTACAAAAGTGCTGTTTGTCTTTAGGTTCCCTTGGAGACTCCTGGAGGCTATGGCAATAACCTCATGCATGCAGGCATGGCTCTCATGCCTAATAGCAAAAAGCATATTAGCTGTGTGTGGTGCAATCACTTTAATTTTTCTATAATGCGTCCTCCTCTCATCCTGTGTACTTGGCTATTTGTTTCTTGCTATCACAGTTACACAGCAACAGTGAGCTCGGCTGTGCTACTCATTTGATCTTTTAACAGCATGGTACTTCGAAATCTGTGCTATTTTTTGTGTATTTTAAAAAATATTTTCAATACAAGAGCTCTCTTTGGATGGCACCTTTCAGACAGACAACAAGAAAAGGCTTTAAAACATATTTTTTTAAAAATTAATTTAAAGGTATAAGCATGGGAGTGGGGGAATTGTTTTCTCATAGGGTGATTTTTTTTTTCAAAGGTGCACAGGTTAGTTATGCTCCCAACTCCCATTGACTTTCAATGGGAGTTGAGAGCCTAGCTACTTTTTTGTGCCTTTGAAAATCTTGCTTGATGAGTTTTTTAAACAATGGTGAGTTGCTGCTTGTGAGTAAAGGAAAGGCTGCTCCAGATGGCAGGAGCTGTAAAGAATTCTCTTGTACCAAACAAGTCCGTGGAGGGATGAGGTGAGGAGAATGGTTCTACAGGAACAGAGGGAGCGAAAAAGAGGAAAATCACTGCAGTCTCTAAAACTTCCCTACCATTACAGCGATCTTTCTGATCCCCTAAGTATCTACATTGCATTAAACCAACCCCAACCCCAGGGCTAAGATAGCACACATGCTGACCCTCTGGAGCATGGGGAGGTGCTGTGACTAGTCATCTACACTGGGAATAAATTCTCTAACACTTGCTAGATAGCCATCACGCACAGCTGCCTGGACACTGGGAAAGGTTAGTTTCCACTGAGGTATTTTTCAGTATGTGTATTTGGGTGTTCTCAAACTTGTAATTTAATTAAGAAATTATGTATATTTTTAATGGTCACATCTAAGCAAGGGTGGCACTTTACCTGTATAATATCAAATACCAGTGCAGGAGTAAGTGGTGGTTCTTTGGAAATCATTGTTTCCTATTTCCTTTGGAATTGGCCCCAGTTGTGTAGTGCTCTTGCTGAACCATGCTCCCTTGTGGAGCCGACACTGCCTAGTACTGTGCGGTACTTTGTCATCCTGCTGAATTTGTTCCTGTTTTCAGGATTTGGTTTTTTTTTTTTTTTTTAGCCAGTAACAGAGCTGGCTGTCCTACTCACAGGATGTGCTGAAGTTATATCACCAGCTGTCACTGCAAATCTGTGGGGTTCTTAGTGTGTTGATTTCCTATCTGCAACTTCTACTTAAGGGTGTCTGCATGTCCTTCCGGTATATGGCTAGTTCTCTTCTTGTTGGCCTCAAATAGCAGGCCCAAAAAACCTGTTATCTCTATTACATATGGAACTCTCTCCCTTAGTAAAGTGGTTCTAGTGTTTGTGAACCGGGTTAATTTGACAGCAGTACTGTCATATCCGCAGAAGGGGCATATACAGTGCAAACTTTCCTCACAATGTGCCTAGTCCATGGGCCTCACCTTGGGCCTGGCGGGACCACTAGGATGCAAAATGGTAGCTGATTCTCCACACCTCTTCAATACTTGACTTCTCTCTCTCTCCAAGTGCCTATTAAAAGGGGTGTTTAATGTGAACACGTTTTCCCTCTTTGAACTGAAGTGATCTTGACTCATTTCACACTGGCTGGCAAGCAACCTTTGGATTTTAGGGCTGGTCTACACTGAAAACTTGCATCAGCATCGCTACAGCTCTCAGAGATGTGAGAAATCCACACCGCTGAGAGACGGAGCTATGCTAACCTAACCCCAGGTGTAGACAGCGCTTGGTCAATGGAAGAATTCTTTCACCAACCTAGCTACTGCCTCTCGGGGAGGTAGATGAACTGCAGCGACAGGAGAAACCCTCCAGTTGTCACAGTGAGTGTCTACATGGAAGCGC